ACAGGATGACTCCCTCAGACACATTATACTAACTCTATTGACGACCGTCCTTGTTTTAGCCCCTTAAAGTCGAGATCCAGCTAGGGTCATTTAAGGTCTTTACAATAGACGCAGCCAGAAGTCCAAACCATCTACCTTCGGGAAAAAATATTATCCCAGATAAAACTTGAAAAAAAAAATGTTTGAGACTGTTGATAAACGTAACGAAGGAATTGCCTGCCACAAAAAAATACCGGCCGTATTGTATTCTATTTGATTTTACATTGTATTTCGATTCTGAAAAACCGACTTCATGGGCAGGAACCCAGTCTGTAGGGCTGGAGACTTTCACAATCTGTCCTATCAAACATGCCACCCAGACCGCACCCCGACCCGTGAAGATCCGGGGTAGAATAGGTCTTCAGCAACCCATGCTTGCCGTAAGAGGCGACTATTGAGTGAGTACGGTTTTACGCCGCTATTAGCAATATTCCAGCAATATCACGGCGGGGACACCAGTAATGGGCTTCACACATTGTACCCATGTCCGGAATCGAACCCGGGTCTTCGGCGTGACGGGCGGACGCTTTAACCACTAGGCTACCCGACCGCCCCGTAAGAGACGACTAGCGGGATCGGGAGGTCAGGCTCGCTGACTTGGTTTGATGCATGTCATTGTATCCCAATTGTGTGGATCGATGCTCATGATGTGCATCACTGGATTGTCTGGTCCAGACTCGATTATTGAGCTGGAATATTGCTGAGTGCGGCGTTAAACAACATGAAACTGAAAACACCGCATCCTACTCTCACAACCAACGCCCTCCCTCTACCACCACCCCACCCATCCCCCACCACCTTAAACACACCCTAGACATTACAGTCTGGATATTCATCTACTCATTCAGCTTAGCATCCATAATCATTATGCCTCAGACTTGGAACGGGGCGAACGGGTAGCCTAATGGTTAACGCCGAAGACCTTGGTTCGATTCCCGACATGGGAACAATGTGTGAAGCCCATTTCTGGTGTCACTCGACGTGATATTACTTAAATATTGTTAAACGCGGCGTAAAACCATACTCACTCACTCACTCACTCACTTACATTAAAAACGTATTTTGACATTTTTGTGTGTGTTTGTTAAATAAATTAAACTAAATGCCAGAAATACACTGAACACTTTCTTGTTTGAAAATATTGAAATAACAGAATACTGAGATATTGATTGTAGACGTGCTAGTGGTAATGTGGTTGATTTTGGGTGAATTGTTTGTTTTGAGAGATGCGTTTAATCAAGATGTGGTATACTGCTGACGTGTGCAGAAAATAACCGTGGCGTATTTTGGCGACGAGTTATTTAATTTTTCGATGTCTTCTTTCACTTTTAATAGGACTCGAGCTTTAGTTAACTATCTTTAACTGTTTTGTTTGTTGTTTGATCAAAATATTCCCTCCTCATGGCGAGAAGTGATTTGGCACGTTTGCATTGAAATTCGTTTATCAGTATCAGACAAATGTTGAGATGCTCCCTGGTCAGACGCAATGTACTTGCCGCTGATGTGACTGAACACTCTAACTGCGCACGCGTTCTTTGCGATAAACCAGGGGCCATTTCAAAGCTTGAATCTTGTATTGTTACTGCTTTTAGTTATAAAATATGAAAAGCGGTTTTGTGTGACGTTTTTGTATTGCAAAACATAGGACATTATACTGGTCACTCAATTAATTGTTTGTTTTGTGAGATACGTTTAAATGAGGTGTTGCATACATGTATATCCCCGTGTTATGGGTCACGATATGGATGAAATATTGCCGATGTGACTTAAATTTTTAACTCACTCACACATCCGTGTAATGGGTTTTCGGACGCTTAAGAAACATTCCTAGTTCTTCTCGCTAATCACAAGCACAACCGTAAAACAACTCACTCACTCATAAAAGACAACATTATCTTAAAATCAAGCCATCATCTGAGTATTTACAATGTCTGTGTGACACCACAACCCTGTTATAGCGGGAGTATTCGCGATAAACATGGCCGCCGAAAACTACGTGTTAATGACGTGCATGTGCAGAAAGAAAATTTAGCCGCAGTGTGTCTTAGTCTGTCATACAGACCCTGAACCAAATGTACCCAGTACAGCCCATGCAAGTCTATAATGTGTGGCAAGTCTGAATATGAAGAAAGTCTCTGGGCTCCTTTTTATTATACTTTATAACTATAATTTAATAACTGGTTTTTTTTCTGTAAAATATGTTCATTTCAGAAACTAGATGTTAGTGTGTGTGTGTGTGTGTGTGTGTGTGTGTGTGTGTAAAATATATCTTTAATATAACTTATTGTTTCGTTTGCTGTTTAATCAAAATAGTCCAAACCTTATCACAGCCACAGGTAGATAACCGAGTTTTGGCCATTTCAGTAAACCAAGTAACGGAAACGGACAGTCTATCCAATTCAATCGCCTTTTACAAGTGAAGAAGAAGACGTTCACGCCACATCACACCGCACCGCACCGCACCGCACCGCACCGCAACCGCACCGCACCGCACCGGATATAGCTGGAATATTGCTGAGTGCGGCGTTACACAACAAGCTCCACTCCGCACCGCATCGCATCGCAACGTACGCCACCTTAAAATTACAGCACCCCACACAACAATGCTTTGTTTGTTTGTTTATTTGTTGTTTGACGCCGCACTCAGCAATATTCCAGCTATATGACGGCGGTCTGTAAATAATCGCGTCGAGTCTGGACCAGACAATCTTTGATTGACATCATGAGCATCGATCCACGCAATTGGGATACGATAACCAAGTCAGCGAGCCTGACCACTAGATCCCGTTAGTCGCCTCTTACGACAAGCATAGTCGCCTTTACACTACAATGCATATGTTACATAGCATACCGTACGATACATTCTATTCTAACCCAGTTTCCCTCGGACTGTAGAATTGTTGACTCTTTGACGCGACGGTAATGAGTGACGTAGCAAGATTGAGATCAGTGGATTAGCAGGCTGATGACGATTAACCTGATCTTGTGATCACGTCGATAATCGCATTTGCCACATAGCTGATTTAGTTATTGATGCGATAAACCAATCCGATAATGTAGGTCTCACGATCCGATAAATGTACTAATGAGGTCCCCGTGAGGTCCCTATGAGGTCCCATTGAGGTCCCCATGCAGGGACTACTTTCCATAATCTCCACATGTTCAGGTGCACGTGGTGACTACTACCACGAAAAACTACTGCCTCACATTAAAAAGTTATATAGGTTTCTGGTTTCTGAGATCTATATCAAACATGGCTGCAATTCATTTGAGAATGTGTAATCATTCGGTTCACCCAGGCAATGAATTCATAAGCGGTTCCTAAACACATTTTACTGAATGAAAATGTATCCCAAACTCGATTATTTTCAGAATGTAATGCGATGAAGAAATTATCAACCTCGTATGATCCGCATCTTAAATATCATATACATAAGGAATAAGTTGGTATTTATAAACACTTTATGATATGACGATACAAAACACATTTGGCTAATATAGTCAATACAGTAAACTACGTTTATAACGAACACCCTTATAACGAACTCGCGGATATAACGAACTGTTTTGGGGTCTATTTGATGTACATGTATATATGTTGTATTTATGCTTATAACGAACTGACGGATATAACGAACTGTTTTGGGGTCTATTTGATGTACGTGTATATATGTTGTACTTATGCTTATAACAAACTACGGTTAAAACGAATTAAAATTAGTGATCCCTTTGAGTTCGTTATAACCGTAGTTTAATGTATTTGCACTCATCCATTTGTAGTCAATATACCTTATCTGCATGATAAGAAGCATTTAAAATATTTAGGTAGCTATTGCCAAAAGATAATATTCCACCCATATGAACTGGAGACAATGTTACCTAGTATTACATATTATATTATCTGGCATGGTGAGTATAATGTTAGAAACATATGCAAGGCCAGTCTAGAGACATTTTTTTTTCTAATCTGGATGGGTAGGGAGGGAAGATCGTTTGAGGTTACAAATAAATAAAAGTAAACTTGAATCTATTTTATCACATGAAGCCTGCTCTATGTGACCCGTGAAGATCTGGGGTAGAATAAGTCTTCAGCAACCTAGGCTTGCCGTAAAAGGCGACTATGCTTGTCGTAAGAGGCGACTAACGGGATCGGGTGGTCAGGCTCGCTGACTTGGTTGATGCATGTCATCGTATTCCAATTGCGTGGATCGATGCTCATGATGTCAATCACTGGATTGTCTGGCCCAGGCTCGATTATTTACAGACCGCCGTCATATATCTGGAATATTGCTGAGTGCGGCGTTAAAGAACAAACAAACAAACAAACAAACCATGGCATGTGCCAAAAGTTTACACCCGGTACAAAAACGAAATTTGAGCTGAAAAGGTCATTTAACGTCGTCGGTTCCAAATGTAATTTCCAGTAACACCTGCAAATCTGAAATCACACACAGTAATGTTTATCTCCTAAATTAGACAATCTGTCACAGATTAGATGCCCCTGGAGATAGCACATAAAAGTTCAGATTTAAAATAAGTAAACTTTATTAAAATATTGACTTAAACCACCACATTCTCTGCATTTATTTTAAACTCTCTGTCATAGTAGATCTATATAATATGTGTCATGTGTGATTATTTAAAAAAAATTAATACGATCAATTTAAATCCATTTCATTGAATACAAACAATACATATCTGAATATTGCGTTTGAAAAGTAGAAAATACTAGAAATCATATTCCAATATTTGTTTTTGAATTTCCCTTTTTCAGTTTATCTCAACGTGTAAACACCCAGATAAATACATACTAATACATTCAACCTTATCACGTATAAAAATAATTATCGCCAATGCAGCTTGGGTGCAATGCTATCCAGTTTACAGCGCTTCAAACAAGATGGTCACCCTCGAGTTACTCACCAAGGTGAAGGTCGTGCCGGCGTCAGAGGTCAGGGGTCACTACGAGAGTATAAATATACACGCCCCCGAGGGTCGATCAAAACAACTGTTCGCAACAATGGCGTTTAATCAGGTTCGGTTACGAGGAGGGCACATTTTATTGGCTTACAGTGGCCGTGTTACATCAGCGATGGTCCATAGCGTGCCCCAGAGTCGAGACCGTGGCGGGGAACGACACGCGAGTTCGGCGAACAGTCAAAATACATCCTCAAACAGACTGAAATGGCTGGCCCTTGGATCTGCTGCTGCCATCGGTACGTTGAAAAATCTTTGAAATATATGTAGTGATGTGGCGTTGCGTTTGTCGCGTTTCTCCGAGACATTTATTTTTATCATATTATATTTATTCCGAGTCATTAATCAAATGTCAATTGCCGCCTATTTTGAAATGTTGTCCTAGATTAATATTGTGATATTTGTTTGGTACTGATGTGTATCAGACAAGCTGACCTAATAGGTCAGTTTTGAACCCGTTAATTTATAACCGAATATTATTAATGATTGATCTGGTTTTGAACAACGGTTGATGATAAAATCCCACGCATTGTGCATCAGTGCTCATAAAATCAATCACTGGATTGTCTGGTCCAAAATTGATTATTTGCAGGCTGTACGGGTTGCCATGTCATTGATGTGTATATATATGCGTTGATTCACTCAGAGCTATTAATTACAAGCTCAATCCTGAAGTGTGTATGTGTCTGAACATGCTAATTGTTAATCCTCATCTCGTTTATTGTACATATACTGCCAGCCACTGCAGCTTCATCATGACTATTGTTTCTACATGTTACTTAGTCCTTGTAGGGGCGGTCGGGTAGCCTAGTGGTTAAAGCGTTCGCTCGTCACGCCAAAGACCTTGGTTCGATTCCCGACATGGGTACAATGTGTGAAGCCCATTTCTGATGTCCCCCGCCGTGATATTGCTGGAATATTGCTAAAAGTGGCGTAAAACCATACTCACTCACTCACTCACTCACTTAGTCCTCGTCATGTGACTTCAGCTAAGCCTTGGTCCAGTGATGAGAGACTCTCACACTCCATCATCGTCCCGAGGCAAGGTTGTTTACTGACTGTAAGAGTCCAACTGAACTAGGCTGGACTTAAATATTTTGGCTGGACTAATGAGTCTATGGAGAGTGCAATCAAAATCGCGTGACGAAATCAACATCGGGTTTGTAATTGCTGTGCAGATTTCAGTCATTTGTAGTAAAACCAGTACCACGCCCACTGTGACAATGTGCTGACTATTATGATTGTACCCATGTCGGGAATCAAACCTGGGTCTTCGGCGTGACGAGCGTACGCTTCAACCACAAGGCTACCTGACCGCCCCCATTATTACAGCGCAAACTACCGAGTTGTCACTTCCAATTGAGATCCCTGTGAACTAATAGGCAGAAATAATGCAAGTGCGGGGATATTTATACCCTCGCTGGGCCTTGTGCTTTTTAGCCCCTAAATTTGAAAAAAGGCCCCCATTTTCAAATACAATGGGGCATTTAACATTGTGCTGTATGCACGTACCTCTGGAATATTTGAAATAGTCACATCAAGGGCCCATGTCAGACAATTCCTAGAGTGAACCCTGTAAGCGTGTAGGCAGTAAAACTGAGAGCCTTTAGTCACCATCCTTATATATGATTGGTTTATTTAAACAATACATAATAGTTACCTTTGAGGAATAGATAGATAGCCAAACCTATCCAGATAAGTGACACTTCATTAATTACGAGAGACGTGTCAGAGCAGTTGGGATCAATCAGTTGCTTGTTGATTGGGTACAGCCAGGGGCATATAGTACACAATAGACTTTTGTTTACAATATTACTGTCAGGTCTCTGCTCTTCGGAGTTAGGTCAATTAGATACAGCTTTCAAGTTTATCATTTTGCATATTGTAGACTGTTCTTGGGCACGGGTGGCCCAGTCGTCTAAGGCGCCGCGATTCGCTGTGCAGAGTTGCGTCCCTTGGACACGCAAGAAACCTATGATTGTGGGTTCGAATCCCGGTTTCGCCCCGATTATGTTTCTAGGTTTGTCAGCACCATACCCGTGGCTGTGGGTTTCACTGAAGTGGTTAACGTCTGAGACCTGCATCACTTCAGGCTTTTCTCTCACATTAAGCTGACACGCCTTGATATAACTGGAATACTGTTAATTATGGCGTTAAACCTAACTCACTCACTCACTCACGAGTTAACCACTATAACTGGTCTTCAGCAACCCATGCTTGTCATAGGAGGCGACTATCGGGATCGGATGTTTGTTTGTTTGTTTGTTGTTTAACTCAGCAATATTCCAGCCATATGACGGCAGTCTTTAAATAATCAAGTCTGGGCCAAACAATCCAGTGATTGAAACCATGAGCATCGATCCCCAAAATTGGGATGCAATGCAGGCATCAACCAAGTCAGCGAGCCAGACCACCTGATCCCATTCGTCGCCTCTAACGACAATCATAGTCGCCTTTTACGGCAAGCATGGGTTGCTGAAGACCTATTCTACCCCGGATCTTCAGGGGATCGGGATCGGATGGTCAGGCTTGGTGTCGTCAGATTCCAATTGCATGGATCGATGCTCATAGTTTCGATAACTGGATTGTCTGGTCCAGACTTGATTGTTTACAGACCTCGGTCATACATCTGGTACATTGCTGAGTGTGGCGTTAAACAACAAACAAACAAACATCCGATCCCGATAGTCGCATCCTATGACAACAGGGTATGAAACTCACCACAGACCACAGGACTGGCTAGCTGAAATACTTGCCAGCCCTGACCAAAACCTGCCTGCCCACTATAATCATATGTTTCTCAGGATAAGCTAACAGGGTTTCTTTTTGGTTACATTTTATCATTCATCTTTACATGTGAATTAATGCTTATCATCGGGAAATATCTTGAATATTTTCACATATGAAATATAACCCGACCGTCGGGCGGGGGGATTTGAAAATCTGGCAGCCCGAGTTGAAATCAACCCGTCTCGGACGGTCGGGCAGGCAGGTATTTCGAACACTGTTGACAAGCACGGGTTGCGGAAGACCAGTTATAGTGGTTAACTCGTGAGTGAGTGAGTGAGTCTGAGTGAGTGAGTGAGTGAGGTTGTGTGATATATGTCTACTAACACTCCCCCTCACTCTATAAACTAGTATCTTTGGATTATTTAAATGCCATGTGAATATGTTGTCTTTGTCTTCTGTTCACATATTGAGAACAAAACTTTCTCTGACAGAAGTAAAAACATCCATCAGTTACCATGGTTACTGTACAGATATTTAACATCCTGCACTGTAATTTAAATAGGCCTTTCCCCCATAAAAGCCAACCAATCAAAGCACAATTTTTATTTTAACCTACCAAAGATAAAATATCGGCATAAATCTGTGAGAAATATAATAATACCTTCCAAAATAGACTGGAGAATGTTTGGGACACCATTATGATATTCAGGCTATGTTGTAGGGTGGGCTGGGCCTGACAGTCTTGTCCTGTTTACTTACGGTACATCGGCTGGCAATGTTTACATGTAGTTCAACATGGCCTTTGTTTACACTTGAGGTATACCATATCATAAGCCTGGGGGCGTCTCAAAACATACGCAACCCATTTTTTTTCTTGCGTTTATCTGGTATGTGGGAATTATGCTGAGCGCGGCATTAAACAACAAACCACACCAATCTTAAATTCTCACAAAATGGGGTATTAGAAAAATGATGCATCCTTAGAAGGTAAATAAAATAAGTCTCAGAGTTAAGTACATCATCACACTGCGACAATGTTCTACAACAGTGCATTCGTTCTTGCAGGTTTAGAAACATGGTGAAATATGGTCACTTGTTTCATATTTGGTTGATTGGTTGGTTTGTTTGTTGTAAAACGGCGCACTCAGCAATATTCCAGCTATATGACGACAGTCTGTAAATAATCGAGTCCGGACCAGACAATCAAGTGATTAATTGTTTCACATTTATTGATACTTGTAGTATTTATGCCGAAAACATTTACTGACAGCAACTTTTTTAAAGCTTTTTTTAAGATGTTGACATTTGAAAGTGACCTACATTACTGTGACACTATTTTTGTATTTAGCGGAACATATTAACTGAAGGGAATAATAAGCACCTATTATTATTATTAATTTTTATTTTTTTTTTAATATTTAATATTATTATTACATGTATTATTATTATTATTATTATTATTATCCACATTTGTGAAATTTAGGGTCGAGGATCCATGAACCCAGAAATAAGCATAAGACACAATCTTTGTACATTAGTCCTATGTCATTGTGAATTGTTATTATTTTGTTATCTTTGTACATTGATCCCACCTTGTGTTGTGTAAACATATCATGATTAATATATATATAGTACTCTATGCACTTACTAAGCATTCACGTGATGAAGGAGAAAAAAGTAGCTCTGAAACTAGTTCAAAGAATAACAGAAGTTGCTATCCATAAAAAATGTCATATACTCATGTTCCCCCAACTGCTAAATGCCTATCAAAGACTCCATATGAAACAAGCGCCTCGCTAGAGACATTAAGTTGCCATGGCTGCGAGGGTCATGTGACTGTGGGGTAGACAGGTGTCATGACTGACCTCCGTGACCTCATAGACACAACATTCCGATTACAGTAAGACAAGATGGATTTCAACTCCGTACTTTAACAACTACGAGGTTATTTGTCCCTTCATAAGAAGTAGTCCTGAGACACGATGTATGAAAGCACTATAGAAGTTCAGGGTTAGAACTAAACTCAAAAGCTTCACTAGCCCCGGTAAAGATAAAATGACTTTGTAATGTTAAAACAATGTGAAAGTTTGGAAATTTGTACTAGCCCGAATGAATTTGTACTAGCCTTGGGCTAGCGGGCTAGTGTTAATTTCTAACCCTGAAGTTGTTCAGTGTTCCCGCTGGCTTTTGAAACTGGTAGTCCTTGTGGACTGGCAACTCTAAAAATTACCAATTTTTGTTAGTCCCAACTTTGAACAAATAAAAATTACCAGGTTTTATTTCTTTCATCATCAGTTTCAGTGCAGTGTACTTTCATGGCTGACAAATTCAGTGGCGTCATTTCTGAAGTAACTTATTTAGATCTACACATACACCATGCATTCACCATGCATTCACAATTTTCTTTTTATTTCTGAGCGTGAGTGAGTGAGTTTTTTTTCACGCTGCTTTTAACAGTATTCCAGTTATATCACGGCGTGTCAGCTTAATGTGGGAGGAAAGCCCAAAGTGATGCAGGTCCCAGACGTTTATCACTTCGGTTAAAACCCACGAGCACGGGTATGGTGCTGACAAACCTAGAAACATAATCGGGGCGAAATGGGATTCGAACCCACAATCATAGGTTTCTGGCGTGCCCAAGGGACGCAGCTCTGCGCAGTGAATTGCGGCGCCTTAGACGACTGGGCCACCTGTGCCCCCCTTTAATATTTAACTTTTCAGCATGTTCAAGACAAAGTCACTACAAATAGATATTTAACCTCGATACAAAGCGATATATTATTTCTAAAATAAAAAATAATTAAAAGAATATCCTTTTTTTGACTATCGATTATGTTTTGTTCAACAACAAAGATTTCCAAGATACCAGGTACTTGCCGGACCACAGGGACTGGCAGTCTCAAGAAATTACCGGTCCAAGCCTAATCTTACCGGTTAAAAAACTTGTAATTACCGGTAAACAGGAACACTGGTTGAAAAACTTATTGTGTCTCAAACAATACAAAAGTGGAAACCCTTGTGTATAAAAAGTACAGCAGTTTAAGTCCTTATTGTGTACCTTGACTAACAGGATTATTTACACACCGCTGTCATAATGCTGGAATATTGCTGAGTGTGGCCTCAAACAACAAACCAAACCAAACCAGAACTTCAAAATTCTACAATTAAGGAAAGGCATATACTGTATAGACCAGGGAGCTCTCAAAATTAGAAATAGGGGCCACTGAAAGATTAATTGCCCATAATTAAGGGTGCATATAACACACGAGCGCGTATTACCATATTCGAGGTAATAAGCGCCCAGGGCGCTCTCAAAATTAGAAATAGGGGGCTCTTATTAGAATATTATTTTGTCGAAAAAAACAGAGTTGAAAGATAAACGTCGTGGTTTATGCTGACAGCCTGAAATGTTTATATAGGAGAGATATATTTTTCCAGAATTTAATTGCCCCTACTTAAGGGTGCATTTAACACACGAGTGCGTATTATCAGCGAATAAATAAGTATTGTGTACATTGATCAATCGGAAAGGGTGCTAATTGGGATTGTTCACGAGCCAATATATTAGCAAATATCGCCGTGGGCGCTTATTAGAGCGGGGGGGTTATTACGTCGAATACGGTATACACGAATAAATAAGTCTTGTGTACATTGATCAATCCGAAGGGGTGCTAATTGGGATTGTTCACTAGCCAACACATTAGCAAAAATCGCCGTGGGCGCTTATTAGAGCAGGGCGCTTATCACGTCGAATACGGTAGTTTTACCTCGAGCATTAAAATATTGCTTGTATTGCTTCAGGTGCGGGCCTATACTTGAAGTACAAGAGCAGCCAGAATGTTGTTTCTGCGGCAACTACAGTCCACACTCCCGCCATCCAGAGTGGCCCTGGGTCAATGCGGAGTGATCTGCCCTTGTTTACGGAGGACCAAGTATTGCAGCACAACTCGCGTCAGAATGGGATTTGGGTGACCTTCAAGAATGGAGTCTATGACATCACAGAGTATGTGGCTCAGCATCCCGGAGGGAGCAAGATCATGATGGGAGCTGGGAAGTCCATCGAGCCGTTCTGGGATCTGTACGGTGTACACAAAAATCCCGAAATTCTACACATTTTAGAAAAACACAGAATCGGGAACATTGTTCTGGTTGAAGATAAGTCAAAAGGTAAAACAAACGACCCGTATGCTAACGACCCCAAACGGAGCCCCGTTCTCATTCCAAGTTCATCACGGCCTTTTAACGGTGAACCACCGACGACCATCTTGGTCGATAATTACATCACTCCAAATGAACTATTCTTCGTCCGTAACCACCTACCAGTACCAAAGGTTGACGCGAACAAATACAGACTTGAAATGGCTGTGGATAAGTCTTCAGTGAAACTCAACCTGAGTGACCTAAAGGCCAAGTTCAAGGCCCAGTCGGTGACCTCTGTGGTCCAATGTGCCGGAAACCGACGCAGCGAGATGACGAAGATTAAACAAGTGAAAGGTCTGAACTGGAACAATGCTGCCATCAGCAACGCGACCTGGACTGGCGTGACCTTGAATGACCTTCTGAAACATTCCGGCATTGACCTTGAGAAGGTCGAATGTCAGCATGTACAGTTCGAGGGCATGGATAAGGGGCCCGAGGGGGCACCGTACGGAGCCTCGATTCCGATCGACCTTGCTCGGTCGTTGAAGGACGACATCATCATCGCGTACGAGATGAACGGCAAGGATATCCCCCTGGACCACGGCTACCCTGTGAGGGTGATTATCCCGGGCGTGGTCGGGGCGAGGCAGGTGAAGTGGTTGACGAGGATCGTGATGTCGGATGAGGAGAGTCTGTGCCACTGGCAGAGGAAGGACTACAAGGGCTTCAACTCCTCCATCGACTGGCACAACGTTGACTTTGACAAATCTGTGGCAATACAGCAGCTGCCGATCACATCCGCTATTTGTGATCCTCCAGAGGGCGCTGAGCTTGAAGAGGGGGCGGAGGAGGTGAGTGCATTATGCTAAAAATAAAAACGGGGCGGTCGGGTAGCCTAGTGGTTAAAGCGTTAGCTCGTCACGCCAAAGACCAGGGTTCGATTCCCGACATGGGTACAATGTGTGAAGCCCATTTCTGGTTACCCCCCGCCGTGATATTGCTGTAATATTGCTTAAAGCGGCGTAAAACCATACTCACTCACTCACTAAAATTAAAAACGTATTTTGCCATTTTTGTGTGTGTTTGTTAAATAAATTAAAATAAATGCCAGAAATACACTTTCTTGTTTGAAAATATTGAAATAACAGAATACTTAGATACTGATTGTAGACGTGCTACTGGTAATGTGGTTGATTTTGGTTTAAAAGAAATGTTGTATCCCTATCATGCCTAATGTTTGTTACAAGCCAGTATTTACGAGAAAATAATACAATTGGCTCTCAGGCAATGGCGTTTGAAAATATTGTGTGGGCGGGCGCTGTTTTTTGTTGTTGGTTGTTCAAGCTAGTATGTAACCAAATTTTGTTTCCAATAATTTCATGGAGATCATGTTGTGCTTAAGGATTGTACCATTTGTCTGCCGGGGTTGTTAATTTATTAATTATTTTTTAAAATGGAAATAAAAGCGAAACGTGTGGCGGACTTTATGATGATGTGGGCGGTACCTCAAAACCATGATTATTATTTAAAAAAATAAATTTAAACTGTATTCCTTTGGAAAAAAGCGTGCAATGTCACATGATACTCCACATGAAAATATAGTTGTAATATTGCTACAATAGGGATCAAGATATATTCTGACAAAGAACAAGTACAATGAGTCAAGCATAAAGCCTTATAATTGGATAATGTGCTTATAATTACTGGGAAAAGTTTGTTGCAGAGCCTAGACAAGCCGTATGTGTTGAGCAATATTCACTGATTCTCTCACAAACTCTCTCTTCCTGCAGGTGACGTTGAAGGGGTATGCATGGAGCGGTGGAGGTCGTGGCGTGGTGCGTGTCGATGTCTCGGCCGATGGGGGGCAGACTTGGGAGGAGGCGGAGCTACAGTCCAACAACCAACCAGCGTACAAGTCGTGGGCGTGGACACTGTGGGAGGCTACCATCCCGCTCCCCAAGGATCACAAGGGCAAGGTCGACCTTGTGTGTAAGGCCGTGGATGTGTCGTATAACGTCCAGCCCGACAACGTGGACGGAGTGTGGAATCTTCGGGGTGTTCTGAACAACGCCTGGCATAGAGTCTCAGTGTCGGTCCCACCGGAGGAACAGTCCTAAAAAAGGCAAGGTCGACGACAAACGATCAGCATTGTCATAACTTGCACCATGGAGAGTTGACGACATCAGGCCCTGCAGACAGGTCATTAATGGAGTTAGATACGGATAAAATTGTCAAAAAACATGTTTGGGTGAGAAGACACCGAATGTGTTTGTGACCCATTCGTAATCTGTCACTTGTGATGTATCAGGTTGCCATGACAATGCAGGTGTTACCTGTAGGTTGCTTCAGACAATGTTGCCATGACAACTAAGGTCTGACGTGCCAGTTTTTCAATGTGGATGTTGTAGTTGCCATGAGAGGTGCCAACTTTGTACACAAATATCATGGGCACTGCCAGAGTTGCATCCCTGTTCCAATCGTGATGTAAGAAAGATTCTGTTCATAGTGTTAACACTAGGGTTGTCATTAATCACCAATATATTGATAGCTCATTGCATGAATTCGTGAATATGGGACTTAATCAACCAGTCGTGCCAGATAAAAACTATCTAGTTCAGAGCAGCGACCTCTTGCTAGTAAGTCACATTGGTCGTTCATAGAGAAGTTCACAAAAAAAAAGGAGGGTGCAAATTAAGCACCACACTACATAGTATATTATGACTCAAGTATCGCGATATATGTATCGATACGTGAGAAGCCGTATCATGACACCCTTCGTTAACACCCATCCTTTCATCAGGGTCATGTGGTCATGGGGTAGCCCAGTGGTTAAAGCGTTCCCTCGTCACACTGACCACCTGGGTTCGATTCCCCACATGGACACAATGTGTGAACCCAATTTCTTGTGTTCCCATCATCTTATTGAGATCACACTGGGCGCTTATTACGTTGAATGCGGTATATTGCAAGTGGTGGGCAGACATGTATCCACTGCTTGCTGTCGAATGACGGACAATGTTGATTTTATTGCAACTTGGACACACCAACATCTGGTAGTTTACTGTTATAGTTGTTGTGTTTCTGAATCTCACTTGCTTTGTTTTGCATATTAATTGTTTACAAAGATGTTTTCTCAGTGTATCATTACCATGGTTGTGTATGTATTTTTATCTGTGTGTTCACCAGATAATATTGTATGTTATCTGTTTATAACAGGTAATATTGTATTCGATCTGTTTATAACAGACATAATTGCATTTCATCTGTATGTATATACCAGATAGTTTTGTATTTTATCCATATATACCAGATGACATTGTATATAAACTTTATCCATATTTATTGTATATTATCTGTATGCATGATATGCCAGATATAGCCTTTATACCTTGGGGATATAGATAATATTGTATATTATTCGTATACCAGAGTGTCATCTACCCAGACACTAATCATGCTGATATATGTTGCCATGGGTAAGGATATTGAAGTCCTCCTGAGAGGCGGTGGGGTAGCCTAGTGGTTAAAGCGTTCGCTCATCATGCCAAAGACCCGGGTTCGATTCCCCACATGGGTTACAATGTGTGAAGCCCATATCTGGTGTCCCCTGCCGTGATATTGCTGGAATATTGCTAAAAGCGACGTAAAACCATACTCACTCACTCACTCACTGAAGTCCTCCTGGGTATTGGGTAATGGGACTCAGGATGAATATCTCATACAGAGCTACAGATAAGCAGCGTATTTGCGTAAACTACCCCACAAAAATTTCAAAACCCAACTACTTTCAATTAACTTGTGTACAGAAATGCATGCATTAAATGAAAAATTCAAATGTATAAAAACAGCGTAAATACCCAATGAAGCTTTTTCAGCATGCATACAAAGGAGCTAATTTCCAAAACACAATTACGAGCTAATTTATGTCCTGAGTCAAACCTATATATTTAGAACAGTTATATACATCTAAAACATTATTTTGTTTTTTTCTAAATCTTAAAATGTTCACTAATTTTGGAAAAACCCATAAGAGTGATAAATAGATGAGTGAAAAAGTATTGGTTACCCAATGAAAATTGTAATAACAAAATTAAAATAGAAACCCTAGAGTAAAATCTTAATTGCTCAAAAAGTTATCTGGAGCTCTGCACATATTATTGTTACATTTTTATTCTTCTGTCATTTGTACTATTATCATGATAATGTCTTTGACATGGTGCAAAAAGACATGAAATGTCCTAATGTCATTTGTCTTGAGCAAAATTGTTGATTTGTTCCCTTGAAGGATATGTTCAGGGTAAACATGTTTTATTTAATAAAACAACACAGTGGTTTATTGGCCATTAAATATTAAATATTAAATACCGTTTTGTTTGTTAATTACTGTATTCGACGTAATAAGCGCCAAGAGCGCTCTCAAAATTAGAAATAGGGGGCTTTTATTAGAATATTATTTTGGTGAAAAACAACAGAGTTGAAAGATCGTAAATTTGGTGGTTTATGCTGACAGTCTGAAATATTTATATGTGACAGATATATTTTTCCAGAAATTAATTTCCCATCATTAAGGATGCATGTAACACTTGTATTATACACGAATAAATAAGTCTTGTGTACATTGATCAATCGGAAGGGGTGCTAATTGGGATTGTTCACGAGCCAATATATTAGTAAATATCGCCGTGGGCGCCTATTACGTCGAATACGGTATGTTTGTTGTTTGTTGGTGCAGTTGAACAAAGGCTGAAGGTATGTGTTACCATGGTTACTGTGCAATGAAATTGTAAATGAAGAATTATGGGAATAAAAGATATGTTTATAAAGTCTGAATTTGATCCTTCTTTTAACAAGGCCAAAATATATTCTTGTTTCACCCATTTTCCTGATGCAAGGGTGTTAACAGACTACAAAAGTCCAGTTTCCACCCTTGCCGAACTTGCCTGGAATTTCATGGCTCGATCGTTTTTTATTTGTTTGTTGTTTAACGTCGCACTAAGCAATATTCCAGCTATATGATGGCGGTCTGTAAGTAATTGAGTCTGGACCAGACAATCCAGTGATTGACAACATGAGCATCAATCCATGCAATTGGGATCGATGACATGCTTCAACCAAGTCAGCGAGCCTGACCACCCGATCCTGTTAGTCACCTCTTACGACAAGCAGAGTCGCCTTTTGCTGCAAGCATGGGCTCGCCCAGCGCCACCAGTGACTGTTAGGAGTTATATCCTTTCTATGTCCCTCCTATTGACCAATCAGGTTCCACCTCTCATATCACTTGCATTTGCTTCAAACAAAATGACAACGCCCTGTCAAGATAATCTGATCAATAATCACGATCTATATTGAACTAAAACGGGCCTTACCTCGCTAAGTTTATCAAATCATTTGAACACCTTGATTAAAAGCATGAAAGGATTTGGAAAATGTCAGTCGATGCCCAGATGACTGTAAACCTGCTTTGCAAATCCTGCAGTTGAACAAAATCTGCACATTGAAATCCATGTTGTTTATGTACAGGATGTCTTGTTTGTTGCGAGATTTTGTTTGGACTATGATTAGACACATTAGCCAAGCCAAAAGATAATTCCAAAATTCCAGCCTAGTTCGGCAAGGGTGAAAACTGGACTTTAACAGTCCGATAACTCCCTTGCCTGGAGAGGGGCGGTCGGGTAGCCTAGTGGTTAAAGCGTTCGCTCGTCACGCCGAAGACCCGGGTTCGATTCCCGACATGGGTACAATTTGTGAAGCCCATTTCTGGTGTCCCCTGCCGTGATATTGCTGGATTATTGCTAAAAGCGGGGTAAAACCATACTCACTCACTCACTCCCTTGCCTGGAGGTGTGTTTCACCGGACTAAAATGCTTGTTCTGCTGACCTGCTCCTACTCATAATGTTATTGAACCTCTTTGATAGGCATTTAGAAGTTGGAGTACTAAGTAAGGATAAGAATTTATGGATGAACAATTTTATTACAATTAAGGAGAAACATCTAGGCCCCTCAAAACCCGAATCAAAGAACATCAAAGCTCAGTCTCCAAAGATGACTCTAAATCAGCTCTATCAGACCACATCCGTGACAACCCAAGCCACAGCATCCAGTAGGATAAAGTCAAAGCCCTCGCCACCAACCTCAAAGACTTCAAGATCAGGAAACTACAGGAAGCCATCAACATCAAAAGACTTCATCCCTCAATCAACCGTGACCAAGGTTGTTACATACTCCCGGCGTACCATCAACTCATCAAAGGTCCCAATCAGCCATAATCCCGTTGTTTATATTACTGGCTTCATCATTTGTTTATGTCACTGACTTCACCGATGATTGCCATCACTACCCTTGTGTGTACACAACAGGATTCTCTATTCGATTAACTTCTTTGATAGGCATTTAGAAGTTGGAGTACTCAGTAAGGATAAGGCTCTTAATTGTAATAAAGAAGTTGTTCATCCATACATTCTTATCCTTACTTCTCTATTCGAGTATAACAATATCTACTCTACTGTATAAACAATGCCTCCTACCTGTATACGTACTGGTTCTGGGCCCCGTTCCTCAAAGCGATCTTAGCACTAAGGTGATCGTAATTCCCATACTTTAACATAGGTTTACGCTAAGATCGCTTTGAGGAACGAGGCCCTGGGCCGGAAGAGCGAAACCTAGCCAAAATCAACTCTAAAATCTCTTCGCTTTCGTGAAGCTACAGTAAGACTGGTCACGCTACAGTAAACAAGGGATATTGCTATACCGGGACTCTCAAATTACAAGAAAAACACAGAAATGCGTATACCGTAATCACAGTAGTAATTTATTAGATGCTGAAGTGAAGTATAGTTGCACAAAAGTACTTTACATTTAACAAATTTAATAACTCTTATACTTTAATATTTCATAGATGTACATTATAATTTCTACAAAAACAACAATAACTTATATCTTAAAATATAATGGTAAATACATAAATACATTCTGTAATAAATTTTCGGTTACACTGGCATACAGGTTGTGTTCAAGTCATTCACTCCAAGTGGATCAGGTCACCAACGTGATCTGTGTACTAAACTTCGCCAATGACGTTGTTGACGAGATTGTCTTTCAGAGCCTGAAGACGGTTGTCAATCAGCCGGTATCTTCTCTTTCTGGGTGGTGCTGACCAGTGGGCTCTGGTGCCAACCACGCTCTGTATATTACTTGCTTGATAACGGTCATAGAACCTACACCGAAATGTCGCTCTTAATTGTAATAAAGAAGTTGTTCATCCATAAATTCGTATCCTTACTTAATGTTATTGTGTGTTACTCTTGTGTAATGTACCATAACAGTTGTAATTGATCACCTGTGAGTTATGAGTTTTAACAATGCGTTGCTCTGACAATGTACTTTGTTGAGCAGAGTTACATCCCTTTGTCCTACCAGGATGACTTAATCCTTGCTTTGTATGCTACCCAGGGGCCTGAGAATGAAATTTGAGTGAGTGAGTTGGGTTTAACATCACTTTTAACAGTATTCCAGTTATATCGCGGCGTGTCAGCTTGACGTGGGAGGAAAGCCTGAAGTGATGCAGGTCTCAGACGTTTACCACTTCGGTGAAACCCACGAGCACTGGTGTGGAGCTGACAAACCTAGAAACATAATCGGGGCGTACCGGGATTCGAACCCACTATCATAGATTTCTGGCGTGCCCAAGGGTTGCAACTTTGACCAGCGAATCGCGGTGCCTTAGACGAAATAAAATAACACAATATTGGAATATATTATTCCTGATAAAATATTAATTTCAGATACAATTTCTTCCGACCACTGCATCAAAATTCTTTGAGGATGTATCACTGGGTACGTTTTAACTGAATCACTGGTAGATTGGGAGGAAACATGTGCACAGCTGATTGCTATTTCCGGCTTAGTTTACGAGAAAATACACACGGTAATCTTAATCTCTGCATATACAACAATGACTTTGAGAGCAGGAAATACATTTTAAATGGTAAAATCATCATGTCTAGTGATGTTTTATATCAAATTTCATACTTTTATTGACCAAGTTTGTTATACCTGTTTATTCACCTGAAGTCGCTGAAGGGATACGATAACGCTCAATTATTTGGACCCCGAAGGTAGCGTTGTTTGTTTTTTAAAATGTCCGGACAGAAAAATTTAAATGTCCGGTATGCATTATTATAAATAGGTCATTTGACATTCCCAATCGGACATGTCCGGCGCATATGACCGTTTCCGGACCCATGAATTTTGGACATGTTATTATTTTACAAAGTGGCAGTTACTTTACTCTGTAGTTCAGCAGTAGCAGTATTCTCGAGCTCTCTTGTGTATCTGAGATGCTTTACATAAGACCTGTGAAGGCAACTGGAGATATTGCAGGCCCGTGAAGATCCGGGTTAAAATAGGTCTTCGGCAACCTATGCTTGCCGTAAAGGGCGAATATGCTTGTTGTAAGAGGCAACTGACGGGATCGGGTGGTCAGGCTCGCTGACTGGGTTGATGCATGTCATCGTATCCCAGTTGCATAGATCGATGCTCATGATGTCAGTCACTGGATTGGATTATTTCCAGATCGCCGTCATATAGCTTGAATATTGCCTAGTGCGGCATTAAACAACAAACAAACAAACAAATACACTGTATCATCAGCTGTATATGTGTTATTTGTTTTTTAATTATTATTCATGTCATTCCCCATTAAATTGAGACAGGATAATTGTTTTTAATAAATACCAGTAAAACTACAGACATGATTCTGGGACCATCATACCCCCAGTTGTTAACAGGCGACAGTAGGTGAGCGTGTGGATTTTATTCTTCCCCTTAGTCAGCAATATACCAGCAACTGCAGATACTCACTGCTGACCCGTGAAGACAACTGCAGATACTCACTGCTGACCCGTGAAGGCAACTGCAGATATTCACTGCTGACCCGTGAAGGCAACTGCAGATACTCACTGCTGACCCGTGAAGGCAACTGCAGATACACACTGCTGACCCGTGAAGGCCACTGGAGATATTAACTGCTGACCCGTGAAGGCAACTAGAGGTATTCACCGCTGACCCGTGAAGGCAACTGCAGATACACACTGCTGACCCGTGAAGGCAACTGCAGATACACACTGCTGACCCGTGAAGGCAACTGCAGATACACACTGCTGACCCGTGAAGGCAACTGCAGATACTCACTGCTGACCCGTGAAGGCAACTGCAGATACTCATTGCTGACCAGTGAAGGCAACTGCAGATACTCACTGCTGACCCGTGAAGGCAACTGCAGATACTCATTGCTGACCAGTGAAGGCAACTTGAGATACACACTGCTGACACGTGAAGGCAACTGCAGATACTCACTGCTGACCCGTGAAGGCAACTGCAGATACACACTGCTGACCCGTGAAGGCAACTGCAGATACACACTGCTGACACGTGAAGGCAACTGCAGATATTAACTGCTGACCCGTGAAGGCAACTGCAGATACTCATTGCTGACCAGTGAAGGCAACTGGAGATACACACTGCTGACCCGTGAAGGCAACTGCAGATACTCACTGCTGACCCGTGAAGGCAACTGCAGATACACACTGCTGACCCGTGAAGGCAACTGCAGATACACACTGCTGACACGTGAAGGCAACTGCAGATACTCATTGCTGACCAGTGAAGGCAACTGGAGATACACACTGCTGACCCGTGAAGGCAACTGCAGATACTCACTGCTGACCCGTGAAGGCAACTGCAGATACACACTGCTGACCCGTGAAGGCAACTGCATATATGCACTGCTCACACGTGAAGGCAACTGGAGATATTCACTGCTGACCCGTGAAGGCAACTGCAGATATTCACTGCTGACCCTCGAAGGCAACTGCAGATATTTACTGCTGACCTGTGAAGGCAGCTGCAGATACACACTGCTGACCCGTGAAGGCAACTGCAGATATTCACTGCTGACCCGTGAAGGCAGCTGCAGATACACACTGCTGACCCGTGAAGGCAACTGCAGATATTCACTGCTGACCCATGAAGGCAACTGCAGATATTAACTGCTGACCCGTGAAGGCAACTGCAGCTAACACTGCTGACCCGTGAAAGCAACTGCAGATACACACTGCTGACCCGTGAAGGCAACTGCAGATATTCACTGCTGACCCATGAAGGCAACTGCAGATATTAACTGCTGACCCGTGAAGGCAACTGCAGCTAACACTGCTGACCCGTGAAAGCAACTGCAGATACACACTGCTGACCCGTGAAAGCAACTGCAGATACACACTGCTGACCCGTGAAGGCAACTGCAGATACTCACTGCTGACCCGTGAAGGCAACTGCAGATACACACTGCTGACCCGTGAAGGCAACTGCAGATATTCACTGCTGACCTGTGAAGGCAACTGGAGATATTCACTGCTGACCCGTGAAGGCAACTGCAGATATTCACTGCTGACCTGTGAAGGCAACTGGAGATATTCACTGCTGACCCGTGAAGGCAACTGCAGATATTCACTGCTGACCCGTGAAGGCAACTGCAGATATTCACTGCTGACCTGTGAAGGCAACTGGAGATATTCACTGCTGACCCGTGAAGATCCGGGTCAGAATTGGTCTTCAGCAATCTGTGCTTGTCTTAAGAGGTGAATATGCTTGTCATAAGGGGCGACTAACGGTATCGGGTGGTCAGGCTTGCTGACTTGGTTGATGCATGTCATTGTATCCTCTAGTCTTTTTTATCAAAGTCTTGTTTCCACTCTTTCCACATCAAACCCATTGGGATCGATGACATGTATCAAGCAAGTCAGCGAGCCTGACCACCCGATCCCGTTAGTCGCCTTTTACAACAAGCATAGTTGCCTTTTACAACAAGCATGGGTTGCTGAAGACCTTTTCTACCCCCGCGTCTTCACGGGCCAGTCCTGGTAATGACACGAATCCTAAGTTGACCTACTGGGTACAGATCATGGCCTCTACATGTAACTCAAAAGTTCATATCGATCCACAAATCCAGGCGTTTATTTTAACTTTTATTCTTTTAGTTGCTGTAAAAGAACAAAAGTGAAAAATGGACAGAAATATATTGTCATGATTAACTAAAGAGTACATGTTCAGATCTTAAATCAAAACACAAGACTTTTTACGACAAGATTGTGCTAAGATCGTGTTGTTGAACGCCGCCCTTGACTAAATGCACAGCAAACCTACAAGCAGGTCCACCACAGCTGTCCAAATGATGCAAATGCAAAAATGAACAATATACTCATGGACAAAAATAAGGGAACAGAGCCATAAAGAGGATTCAGTTAGAGTTTTCACATCAATACCTATTGAGAGTCCCCAGCTGTGGACTGCCTGCCATTAGGGGCCCAGGACGTCACTCTTTGTTTCAGTCACTGGATTATCTGGTCCAGTATCAGTTACTACAGACCACAATGATACAGCTTGACTGGCCTCAAACAAAGACAGAGCCTGGCAATATCCATCTTCCTGAGGCAAGAGCGTCCTCTAGTCTTTTTTATCAAAGTCTTGTTTGCACTCTTTCCACATCAAACCCATTTCTTGTGCTAAATCGTACATATCGATTGTCAAATCAGAGAACGTTTCACAAAATCAACATCTACGACTGGTACACCTTCGTTTAGTTTATGACTGTTCCCTTATTTTTCTCCATCAGCATTAATCAACCTTTTGCCATAAAAAGTAAATATGAATTTTTTTAATAAGGCGCACATGTCAAATACACATATGGCTTTATATTCCCCTTTTTGATAAAAAATAAATACATATAATCTGAAATGTTTTGTATGTATCTGTTCCCCACCGCCCGCTCGCAAAAAAATTGATACCCCCAAAATATTGTTACACCCTTGACAAAAACAACTGAGAATGGAACATGACTACCGTAGTGTCGCAGGTACAGGTTCAGGGGGCCACTCTAGACGGACGATGTATGGGGCTATTTCACACAAGTGGACCCCCACTGTCGCCATCGAAAACATTCCCGCGGCAAGATATCCTGGCAGACAATGGTAACAATATAAATACACTCTCTCTTATACCATCTATGTCATGGAACATTATCAATATAATTTTTATTTTTTATTTTTATTTTTATTTCATATAAACTCTGTAGTTGATTACGATCTAAATATGGTGAAAATGTTTAACTGACGACAACTGTTACTGGTCGACTTGTTTGCTGTCATGGCTGCAATCTCATTAAAATCAGATCTTAGTTCTCGCTATCGCTGAACAAAGATCTGAGGACATCCCATTACGGGTCACGTCAGACTGACCTTGCGCAAACTTTGACCGACCAATGGAATGACAAATCAGAAACCAGCTTTCTCGTGCTTTACGGCACAAATTTCAAATTGGCGACTACGCTTCGAAACATATTTTGACAAATTCTCGATTACAAATTTGAAACCTGAACAAAAAAACATCCTGGAATGACTAATAGATGAGAATGTAAGGATTTCGGTCGTTCAACCCGTAACTATCGTTCGGAATACTTCCTGTTAAAGTTTCGAGATTGCATGATTAGAAATCAATTACTGACAGTCACTTTCATAATTTGGTAATCGACGCACTGATTGGTCGGATGAAAGGTCATTCTGACGTGACCCCTAATGGGATGTCTTCAGATCTTTGTTTAGCGGTAGCGAGAACAAGGATCTGATTTTAATGAGATTGCCTGCATCACTATAGCAACAATGTTGGACAAAATATCCTCAAAATAGTGAACCGATAATGCCCCACTCGAAGCACCAACCCATAAAGAATGATCCACTCCTCGCAGCAGTTTATAAATATGAGCATTTCAAAAATTGATCTGAGCAATGATTTAATAATTGTAAAATATCAGGAATGCTATTTGAAACATTATAACAAAATATGTATGCATGTAAAGACAATACACAGGCAAATCAAAAAAAGATTGATGCCATAAAAAACACAATCCAGTTTGAAAAAGATGACCCAATCTTTTACGTTGATACATATATATAATTTGGTACATTTTTTAAATATATTTTTTTTAAGTCTTTAAGCGCATAATAGGTTCTGGATTAAACAGATGAAAAAAGTTTAAGCACTGCTCCTCTATTTTTATATATTCTGAATTTCCATGAATCTTTTAAATACACACACCGTATCTGCCATAATATCCGACCCAGAAGGTGAGAAAATCAAACCATTAAATCTGTTTTCAGATATCAAGCAGTTTGTACAAACAAGATTGTCATGGAAACCAAAGTAAACTAGACAAGATAAAGCAGTTGTATGTGTCATGCAGGAAACAGATCCACGTTGTCCATAACGTGTTAACAAATACTGAAAGACCAGATATCTCAGGCTAATAAAAATGTTGGTTCTCAGGCACCGCCTACATCATCATAAAGTCTACGGCACATTTCATTTTTATTTCAATTCAAAAAAATAAATTTAAAAAAATAAATTTAAAAAATCCAAGTCCAATGGTAGTCAAATACTGTATTCCAGTATTTTACTCGTCAAGGAATACATTTTACATGATCCTAAAGTTCACCCGAATTTTCATTTAAATTTCAATTTAAAATTTAAAAAAAAATAATCCAAGTCCAATGGAAGTCAAATACTGTATTCCAGTATTTTACTCGTCAAGGAATACATTTTACATGATCATAAAGTTCACCGCACATTTCGTCTTAATTTCAATTTAAAAAATAATAATTTAAAACTCCAAGTCCAACAGTAGTCAAATACTGTATTCCAGTATTTTACTCAAGGAATACATTTATGTAGGGAGGCCGTACTGTGTATTTGGTTACATACTAGTTTGAACAACAACAACAACAACAACAAAAAGAAGAAAGAAAAGGCACCGCCCGCACGCACTTTATTTTAAAAAACCATTGCCTGAGAACCAATTCTTTTATTTTTTTAAGCCCTATTTTATGAATTTTTGCAATATTTTTTTGCCATTGTAAATTTTTAGATAGTTTTCAACAGGTTTTAATTTTTTGCCATTGTAAATTTTTAGATAGTTTTCAACAGGTTTTAATTACAGGGCTGAAGAACACGGATAGAATGAACATAGATAGAGAAAACAAATGGATACAAGGTTACAAAATCACCGATTTATCTCCAATACATTATCACATAAAATGTATGTATATACAGAGCTACAGATAAGCTGCGTATTTGCGTAAAATACCCCCCCCCCCAAAAAAAAAAAAAAAAAAATACATTTTTTATTCAAAACCCAATAACTTTCAATTAACTTGTGTACAGAAACACATGCATGAATTGAAAAACTTAAATGTTTAAAACAGTATGCATAAATACCCATTGAAGCTTTTTCAACTTGGGTACAAAGGAGCTAATTTCCAAAACACAAATATCTAATTTACTTTCCGAGTCAAAACCTATATATTTAGAACAGTTATATATATCTAAAACATTATTTCACTTTTTTTTAAATCCTAAAATGGTCACTAATTTTTGGAGAAAAAAACAATAGAGTGATCAATAGATGAGTGAAAAAATATTGGTTACCCAAAGAAAAATGTATTAACCCAATTAACAGAAATCCTAGAGTAAAACTTCAAGTTTTTGGATAGAAAACAGTTTATTTGAATCATGAAAATACAAGTTGGAGACAAGTGTACAAATATTCCGCCCCCACCAACCCCCCCCCATCACAAAAAGTTAACTACGGCCATGTTCTAATGTATTTTAAATAACTTATTTATCTTGCTAGCTACAGTAAACAACATTTTTTTAAATATTTTACTTATTTCTGGTCCGAGGGATAAAAATAAAATAAATATGTGGACTTGAACAGCAATTTTTCAAAAAAGTCTGGCTTTTCTCTGAAGAAATGAGATTTTTTGCAAAAAAGATCCAAGTTTTGTTTAAGTAGCTAATTGCTCATCTGGTAAGCATTCGTCACCACTCGCCCCTTTCCGTAACCTGCAAGAAGACTCGTCCCCTATCAATGAATGTTAAGTGCGAAAATACGACAAAAACAAATAAGAATGCGCGCATGATTTCAAGTTCTTCGTGAAAGAATCCCTCAGAAATAATTTTTGATTTTACATATGTCTTGCATCTAAAAATATACCAAAAGAGACAGTTAAATGTGTTCAATCATACTGTATAATTCGGCACGTCCCGATGTGGATTAAATTGCATTTGAAATATATATAATATATGGGGAAATATATGTGAACCATTACGCAACGAGTTGACAATTGTTTTAGGTATGCCCGTTTGCGCTAAGACGGAACCCGGTCGCAAAAATGGCCATGAGCGGGGCACGAGTCGCTATTTGGCTTGTCCCGGAATAACACGAGTTGGTCACGAATGATCTGGTAAGTTGTCATAAGCATTCCCTCCTTGATGTTTAATCCTAAGTGATGACTATGTCATTGTGTCATATTTAACGGATTTGGGTTTTTGAGGACATGAACCTTAACATGTACTTATTAAACAAGTGTCATGTGCAGAAAGGGAATTGCATGGTGACATAATTAGGTCACATGTTACTTCAGGTCTTCTAGCCTGTGGGTATCGCTCACTGACTTCCTTTAATTTGGCGACCAAATATTGTGACAGTCAAGATGATAAACAAACCCTGTGATTATAAGTAGAAATGCTTTAAAATTCGGAATGTGAATCCTCCTGAAAGAATCGTCAAACAAGCAGATGAGTGAGTGAGTGAGTTGGGTTTAACACCGCTTTTAACAGTATTCCAGTTATATCACGGCGTGTCAGCTTAATGTAGGAGGAAAGCCCGAAGTGATGCAGGTCTCAGACGTTTACCACTTCGGTGAAACCCACAAGCACGGGTATGGAGCTGACAAACCTAGAAACATAAGCGAACCGGGATTCGAACCCACAATCATAGGTTTCTGGTGCGCCCAAGGTACGCAACTCTGCACAGCGAATCGCGGCGCCTTAGACGACTGGGCCACCCGTGCCCCCTCCAAGAGTAAGAAATGGTTGGTCCAAGAAAGTAACTGCAGAGTTACTCAGGGCAACATGAAAAAACAATATCTATGACAAACAAAACATCTTCAGATCAACGGTTTCCACAATAGCCCAAGCCGACAAGTAGAACTATGTACATGAACGTTTATGTAAGGAGAGAAATGTTGGTTTAATTCATGGCCAATCTAATTAAAATCAGATCTTAGTTTTCGCTACCGCTGAACAAAGATCTGAGGACATCCCATTAAGAGTCATGAATGACCTTTTGCGAATTCTGACTGACCAATGAAATGACTGACAAGAAATCGACATTGGCCAATCAGAAGGCAGCTTTCTCGAGCTTTAGGACACTAGTTTCAAACTGGCGACTACGCTTCGAAACATATTTTGAGTATTCTCGATTAAAAAAGTTAAAAACTGATAAGAACATTCTGGAATGGCTTATAAATGGCCTAGACTGTATGGATATAATAATAAAACCCATAACTGTCGTTCGGAATACCCCATGTTAAATATTTCGTGGTTGCATGATTAGAAAACACATTCCGACAGTCACTTTCATGATCTGGTAAGCAAAGCTCTGATTGGTTGGATGAAAGGTCGTTCTGACGTGACCCTAAATGGGATGTCCTCAAATCTGTGTTTAGCGATAGCGAGGACTAAGATCGGATTTTAATGAGATTGATTCATGGCATAGTCAGCTCACAGAGACAACATATGGACACCACAGCAATTTAAATTTGCAAAATCTGCTTCAAGTGCATCTGCTTCAAGTAACGTCTGCTTCAATTGACCTCTGCTTCAAGTAATGCCCTCATCTTCAAGTGGCCTCTGTTTCAAGTAACGTCTGTTCTACTTGTCCTCATGTTTGGATTTATCAATGTTTTCGTGTTGTGTGATGAAGTTGAGCAAGTCAATCCTTGTTGCGATGCCAAAAATCATCTGTTTCTTGGACATTAAGCTGCCTCCCTCGTCTGCTTTCAAAAGGAGAAAAACAAAATAATTTTCTCAACCAGATGGACATTCTCTCGCACGCACGCACACGCACACACGCACGGACGCATGCACGCACGCACGCACACGAACACACGAACACGCACACACGCACACGCACACGCACACACATATCACAAGACATACAGTTTGTTTGTTTGTTGTTTAACACCTCACTCAGCAATATTCAAGATATATGACGTCAGTCTGTAAATAATCGAGTCCACACCGAACAATCCAGTGATTGACATCATGAACATCAATCCACGCAAGTGGGATACGATGATATGCATCTACCAATCCCGATAGTTGCCTCTTACGACAAGCATAGTTGCCTTTTACAGCAAGCACGGGTTGCTGAAGACCTATTCTGACCTGGACAGGCACGGGCACATGTGCATGCGCACACGCACGTACAAACACACACACGTACAAACACACACACAAACTTACATTGTCTCTGGTTGTGCACAACAAGGACGAAGTGGTCTGTGTCCAACATCCGGGAGAGCTGACCCAACGATGTGTCCATGTGGATCTGGAATAGTAACCTTCCCTTGAACATGACTTCCCACATTGATGCAACAGTAGCGACTGTAACCTTCCCTTGAACATGACTTCATACATTGATGCAACAGTAGCGACTGTAACCTTCCCTTGAACATGACTTCATACATTGATGCAACAGTAGCGACTGTAACCTTCCCTTGAACATGACTTCATACATTGATGCAACAGTAGCGACAGTTACCTTCTCTTGAACATGACTTCCCACATTGATGCAACAGTAGCGACAGTAATCTCCCCTGGAACATGACCTCCCACATTGATGCAACAGTAGCGACAGTAACCTTCCCTTGAACATGACTTCCTACATTGATGCAACAGTAGTGACAGTTACCTTCCCTTGAACATGACTTCATACATTGATGCAACAGTAGGGACTGTAACCTTCCCTTGAACATGACTTCATACATTGATGCAACAGTAGCGACAGTTACCTTCCCTTGAACATGACTTCATACATTGATGCAACAGTAGGGACTGTAACCTTCCCTTGAACATGACTTACCACATTGATGCAACAGTAGCGACAGTTACCTTCTCTTGAACATGACTTCACACATTGATGCAACAGTAGCGACTGTAACCTTCCCTTGAAGATGACTTCCCACATTAATGCAACAGTAGCGACAGTTACCTTCCCTTGAACATGACTTCACACATTGATGCAACAGTAGAGACAGTTACCTTCTCTTGAACATGACTTCATACATTGATGCAACAGTAGCGACAGTTACCTTCCCTTGAACATGACTTCACACATTGATGCAACAGTAGAGACAGTTACCTTCTCTTGAACATGACTTCATATATTGATGCAACAGTAGCGACAGTTACCTTCTCTTGAACATGACTTCATACATTGATGCAACAGTAGCGACAGTAACCTTCTCTTGAACATGACTTCCCACATTGATGCAACAGTAGTGACAGTAACCTCCCCTTGAACATGACTTCCCACATTGATGCAACAGTAGTGACAGTAACCTTCCCTTGAACATGACTTCCCACATTGATGCAACAGTAGCGACAGTAATCTCCCCTTGAACACTTCAATTGGCATGACTGGAAGAGTTACCTCCCTCCTACCAAAGACCCTCAAGCTCCTTCCTACTGCGTGACACCTTCGTTTTCCCAGATAAATTTACCTTTTTCTTTGTTCAATCACATTGGTTCTAGATTGTAGACTAACGGAAAATCACTTTTACCTCTCCGTTACATTCTTACTATACCATTTGTATGATATTTGGAATGAAATAGAAATTAAAATTGACAAACAAAGAAATAATTAAGCTGGGGTAAGAGTATTCGGCGTCACGGCAGTCACCACTTGTTTGTAAACATAACGGTCAGTTGGTTGCGTTTTCAACTCCAAGCATGGTTGTGGTCACCAATCACAGTGGGGAGTTTTGACCGGCGGCAGGGATAGTATAGAGAGCTCCGCATTCGGACTATCACTGTGAGGAGCTTGAAAGATCCTACTTTATGATTTTTGTTTTTTGTTGTTTAACGCCGCACTCAGCAATATTCCAGCTACCGTATTCGACGTAATAAGCGCCCAGGGCGCTCTCAAAATGAGAAACAGGGGGCTCTTATTAGAATATTATTTTGGTGGAGAAAACAGATTTGAAAGATAAATTTCATGGTTTATGCTGACAGACTGAAATGTTTATATACGACAGATATATTTTTTCAGAATTTAATTGCCCATATTTAAGGGTGCATATAACACACAAGTGCGTATTATGCGCAAATATATAAGTCTTGTGTACATTGATCAATCGGAAGGGGTGCTAATTGGGATTGTTCACTAGCCAATATATGAGCAATTATCGCCGTGGCCGCTTATTACGTCGACTACGGTATATGACGGTGGTCTGCAAATAATCGAGTCTGGACCAGACAATCCAGTGATTCACATCATGAGCATCGATCCGCGCAATTGGGATCGATGACATGTATCAACCAAGTCAGCGAGCCTGACGATCCCATTAGTCGCCTTTTACGACAAGTATAGTCGCCTTTTACGGCAAGCATAGTCGCCTTTTACGGCAAGCATGGGTTGCTGAGTATGAATTCAGTTCAACCTATGTGGATTACCATTCAGTGATATCAAATGCTTACCCCAAATACATGTCTACTTAAATATAGCAGCATGCTAAATCACCTGCACAGGGATAGACATTCTTCTTACCTGCTTAAACTGTTTGTACATGACCTTGGACACAGGGTCGTTAGACTTGGCTTTGTTCTTTACCACCTGCGCCATCATGTTGCCGACGGTTACCATTCCCAAGATGCATCTGAAATACATAAGCAATTGTTGAACATGGTATTCCTGCCTGTCAGTGCAGCCATCTAGCTGTCTTTACTCAGTTAAAATATAAAGTCACGCCAGCGGTATTTAGTACATTCATGAAGGCAAGGTATTTACTTGCTCTTACAGAATAATGCCTGTTTTAGAGAGCCGGCCCAGACTAATGCTGGTTTTAGAGTGCCAGCCAAGACTAATGCCTGTTTTAGAGAGCCAGCCCAGACTAATGTCTGTTTTAGAGTGCCAGCCCAGGCTAATGCCTGTTTTTGAGTGCCAGCCCAGGCTACTGCCTGTTTTAGAGTGCCAGCCCAGACTAATGCCTGTTTTAGAGTCCCAGCCCAGACAAATGCCTGTTTTAGAGCGCCAGCCCAGACTTATGTCTGTTTTAGAGTGCCAGCCCAGGCTAATGCCTGTTTTAGAGAGCCAGCCCAGGCTAATGCCTGTTTTAGAGTGCCAGCCAAGGCTAATGCCTGTTTTAGAGTGCCAACCCAGGCTAATGCCTGTTTTAGAGTGACAGCCCAGACTAATGCCTGTTTTAGAGTGCCAGCCCAGGCTAATGTCTGTTTTAGAGAGCCAGCCCAGAATAATGTCTGTTTTAGAGTGCCAGCCCAGGCTAATGCCTGTTTTAGATTGCCAGCCCAGACTAATGCCTGTTTTAGAGTGCCAACCCAGGCTAATGATGGTTTTAGAGCGCCAGCCAAGGCTAATGCCTGTTTTAGAGAGCCAGCCAAGACTAATGCCTGTTTTAGAGAGCCAGCCCAGACTAATGCCTGTTTTAGAGAGCCAACCCAGGCTAATGCCTCTTTTAGAGCGCCAGCCCAGACTAATGATGGTTTAAGAGTGCCAGCCCAGACTAATGCCTGTTTTAGAGTGCTAGCCCAGGCTAATGCCTCTTTTAGAGAGCCAGCCAAGACTAATGCTTGTTTTAGAGTGCCAGCCCAGGGTAATGATGCTTTTAGGTCGCAGCTCGCACTTACGCCTGTTTTAGAGTGCCAGCCCACGCAAGCACAGAATACAGTCTCAAAGCTGGCCAGTCCCTGTTTAAATGCCGAGTGCCAGGCTGGGTAACATTAAGTGTCATCTTTAAACATTGTTTGGTATGGCGTGACCAGGGAATTTGACCACCGACTTTCTGCTCCCCAGGCAGATGCTCTGTCCAATAACACCACAGGGGCAACAAGTATTAAATATTGCAGGTATATAGGCTAGCACTGTTTTCAAAACTTGAATCTTTGTCACCCGCAGAGGGCGTTTACCACTGACACCACGTGGGCTATGACCGTGAGGAGCTTTAAACAATAATTCAATCTTGTGAACCAAGGCTTACTCCTCTGGTTTAAATCGAATCACCCAACACTGGCATGTTCACGGGGTCGTTATGGCAAAGAAACAAACCTGCTGAAACAGTGGTTTGTTGGTTGGTTGGTTGGTTGGTTTGTTGTTTAACGCCGCACTCAGCAATATTTCAGCTATATGACGGCGGTCTGTAAATAATCAAGTCTGGACCAGACAATCCAGTGATTGATATCAAGAGCATTGATCCACGCAATTGGGATCGATGACGTGAATCAACCAAGTCAGCAAGCCTGACCTCTCGATCTCGTTAATCGCCTCTTACAACAAGCATAGTCGCCTTTTACAGCAAGCATGGGTTGCTGAAGACATAATCTACCCCGGAATCTTCCCGGGTCAAAACAATGGACATAAGGCACCCTTGTGGTATAAATAACCATATCCCCCCCTCATCCCTCACCCAGCTTCATCCACAACGGGGACCTGGTCGAAGCCCTCCCGATTCAGCAGCTCTAAGGTCTCTTGGATCGTCACGCTGGGGGTCACTGTCAGCGGTGCCTGAAGGTTGAGGGAGTTCACCTTCAAACTCCACCACCTGCAAGGTCAAGGTCAACTTAATCAAGGGGATGTTCTTTACCCTGCACAGAGAAATGCTGATGACTGCAACATCCCACAGACTGGTCTTGATGCAATCAAATGGCACAAACCATACACTTCGCTATTCATTGCTGGGTCACACAAGAAAATAGATCTGTCATCCCTTTCATCTACATATTTATTTCTTTATTGTTATTATTCTCAATGACAAACGTGTTCAAGTATATTTCCCCTTGTGAACGAAATCAAATTTCTAAAGAATATCCATACTGAATGCATAACAATCTCAATTCCTTCACCTTCGACCTCTACCCATGCACCTGACCTTGACCTCTAACTTTGCATCTCACATTCACCTTGACCTTGACCTTACCACCAAGGAATGGCTGCTGTTACAAATGATGCTAATTAATAGTTGACAAACTAGGCTCTGATAGGCACTACTGTGTTCTGCCTGTTAGTTCTACACTACACAACACAACACACAACTACACTCATTAAAAGCCAGCCAAAATTATAATAAATACAGACAAGAACCCTGGGTAGACCCAGTACACAAGAAGGCACACATGTTGTCAATTCCTAACCAAGATACCGCAAATACCAGTAGCTTCCTTCACCAACTCAAACATTGTGCTAGAAGTTTGTTTGTTTGTTGTTTAACGCCACACTCAGCAATATTACAGCTATATGACGGTGGTCTGTAAATAATCGAGTCTGGACCAGACAATCCAGTGATTGATATCATGAGCATCGATCCACACAATTTGGATACAATGACATGCATCAACCAAGTGAGCGAGCCTGAACACCCGATCCCGTTAGTGGCCTCTTACGACAAGCCTAGTCCCCTTTTGCAGCAAGCATGGGTTGCTGAAGACCTATTCTACCCCGGAACTTCACGGGTCTGGTACTGGAAGCTGCTCATCCCGTGTTCGGAGTTTTTCATTACAAGAATCTTTGAGCCAAGAAAAAAATGTCTGGCATCCTTTTGGTTATACAAGAGCAACTTTGAGAAGGGAGTGTGTTAATCACCACAAACTGGGGGCACGGGTGGCCCAGTCGTCTAAGGCGCCGCGATTCGCTGTGAAGAGTTGTGTACCTTGGGCACGCCAGAAACCTATGATTGTGGATTCGAATCCCGGTTTGCCCCGATTATGTTTCTAGTTTTGTCAGCACCATACCCGTGCTGGGGGGGCTTTCCTCCCACCATTAAGCTGACACGCCGTGATATGACTGGAATACTGTTAAAAGCGGTGTTAAACCCAACTCACTCACTCAATCACCACAAACAATGTCTCATGTTAATGCCAAAGCCATGCAAAGTGTTCTCCCCGCATGAGAGATAACATGGAGTTGAACACTGTGTTGAAGATTACTGCACTTATGAGATAAGTTATATAGCGACATGCATGCTGATTGTACTAGTCCGGACAAATGCCACTTTTATAGTGCTAGCCCACTGAGATACCATGCCGCAGTTTAACGTTGACAACCCACGCAAATACAGTATACTGACTTGGAGACGACCAGCCCTTGTGTTACCCCTTAATGCTGAGCGCCAGGCAGGGTAACATCATGTACCATTTTTGAATGTCGTTGGGTCAGGATCGTTAAATAAATATCGATCAGTTATTGATAAATATCGGAGAAGTCACTTTGAGTAAGTATGCAAACATCCAAAAGAAATCAACACACTTATGACACATTTATGCATGGAATACTCTGTGGACATTTGTCATTACAAAAACATTTGCTTTCCGTCTTTGGCAATTGATATGATTGATAATAAAAAGTCTGTTTCGGTAACTTTAAACTTTACTTCATCACAATTGTTTATGTAAGATGTTATTGATGACAATCAATTATCGTTAATATTTCTGCCCATCGACGATAATTCGTCTCTTTAGCCATACTGGGGCGGTCGGGTAGCCTAGTGGTTAAAGCGTTCGCTCGTCACGCCGAAGACCCGGGTTCGATTCCCGACATGGGTACAATGTGTGAAGCCCATTTCTGGTGTCCCCCGCCGTGATATTGCTGGAATATTGCTAAAAACGGCATAAAACCATACTCACTCACTTTAGCCATACTGTACTTCTATAATAAAAAAACTTTCCTTACATGTCACTAAATAGCAAAGCTTTGCTTTGCTTTGCTGGGTACATTTGGCTAGATCTAGGTGCCATACTTGAAACTTGGGTGCCTTCTTGCGTTACTCATTCCCCCTCCACTGGCCGACTTCACTATGACCGAACATTTTCCAACATCATGCAAAATTAAAATCAGATCTTAGTTCCTGCTACCACTAAACAAAGATCTGTGGACATCCCTTTACAGGTCACATCAGAACTACCTTTCATCCGACAAATCAGAGCATCGTTTACCAGATCAGGGAGGTGACAGTCGGAATGTGTTTTCTAATCATGCAACTTTGAAAGATTAATGCGGGTATTCCTAATGACAGTACTGCCGTACAATCTCAACCATATATTAGACATTCCAGAATGTTCTTTTGTTCAGTGTTCAAATTTTTAATCGAGAACTTTGTCGACATATTTTTCAAATGTAGTCTGAAATCGAAGTGGCCAGTTTGAAACCTGTGCTGTAAAGCTCGAGAAAGTTTCTTTCTGATTGGTAAATGTCAGCCTCTTGCTATAATTTCGTTGGACGGTCAAAGTTAGGGAAAGGTCATTCTGACGTGAACTGTAATAGGGTGTCTCCTCAGATCTTTGTTTAGCGGTAGGGAGAACTATGAGTGAGTGAGTGAGTTGGGTTTAACACCGCTTTTAACAGTATTCCAGTTATATCACGGCGTGTCAGCTTAATGTGGGAGGAAAGCCCGAAGCGACGCAGGTCTCAGACGTTTACCACTTCGCTGAAACCCACGAATACGGGTATGGTGCTGACAAACCTAGAAACATAATCGGGGCAAACCGGGATTCGAACCCACAATCATTGGTTTCTGGAGTGCCCAAGGGAAACAACTCTGCACAGCGAATCACCGCGCCTTAGATGACTGGGCCATCCGTGCTGACTTGAATGAGATTGAAGACCATGTGAAATCAATGGATGACATGCAAGTGTAGTGTGAGCAGAAAGAAAACAGAAACGTCCAGTCAAACTCAATGAAGACAAACTTATAGCAAACAGTACCGCCTCCGTGGTCTAGTGGTAGGGCATCCGCCTGGAGAGCGGAAGGTCCGGGGTTCGATCATACCAAAAGACGTTAAAAGATGGTACTTGTTGTTACCCTGTCTGGCGCTTGGCATAAAGGGGCTAAAACAAGGACTGGTCGGCTTGGAGTCAGTATACTGTGTCTGAGTGGGGTATTCATGTTAAACTGCGGCATGGTATCTCAGTGGGCTAGCATTATATATCGGCATCAGTCCGGACTAGTACAAGCAGCCACACACACACGTGCATGCACGTCGCTATATATAAGTGCAATAATCTTGGACGCGACGTTAAACCCCATTTCACCTCACACCTCAATGAAAACAAACTCATAGCAGACAGTTCGGTGTACAGGATGAGTGAGGTTAAAGGAAATGGGGTTAGAGGGAATGGGGTTCAAAGTCGCATTCAAGATTACTGCACTTATATAACGACGTATATGCATGCGTGTGTGGCTGCTTGTGCACAATGCTGCATTTAACATGCGATACCCTACTCATGTATATATCACTGACTACAAACAGACCAGTCCTTGTTTTATCATATTGATAAGGAGTGCCAGGCAGGGTAACAACAAGTACCATCTTTTAACACCATTTGGCATGACACGGTCAGGGAATCAAACCATTGACCTTCCGCTCCCCGGGCAAATGCTCTATCCACTAGAGCACCAAATGATCGATTGAGTAAGTCAACTGGATTTTCGGCTGATTGAGCAATATCCCAGCCATCTGAGAGCAGCTATGATCGAACGCTTGATCCACTAGACCCCCCCAAGTGGAGGTGATATGGCAGAAACACACTGTAGTTATATATACCTGTAGCTGCTGCTGAAAAAGATCATGGTGGTTTGTTAAGCAATTTCATTGGAGCATCCTCTAAAAACTCATCCACTCTTGACAATCTGTGATTGCAAATCTAGGGAAGCAAAAAAAGGGTGGAGACCTCCATGCCATCTTCCCAAGGCAAGGGAGTTAACTGACCCTTAAAGTCCAGTTTCCACACTTGCCGAACTAGGCTGGAATTTCTTGGCTCGATAGTAGCGCCACCAGTGGCTATTATGAGTTATGTCCCTTCTATGTCCCTCCTATTGACCAATCAGATTCCACCACACATATCACTTGCATTTGCTTCAAACAAAATGACGGTGCCCAATTGTGATAAACGGGTCTTACTTTGAGAATCGCATCAAATCACATGAGCACCTTGATATAAAACATGAAAAGATTTGGAAAATATCCGTTGACAACAAGTTGGCGTTACACATGCTTTGCAAATCCTTCAATAGACCGAAATCTGCACGGCAGTTTACAAACCGGATGTTGATTTAGTTACGCGATTTTGACTGGACTATACATAGACTCATTAGTCCAGCCAAAATATAACTCCATGTTAGCAGCCTAGTTCAGCAAGGGTGGAAACTGGACTTTTATACTCAGTTAACTCTCTTGCCTCGGGAAGATCTTTCTTCCAGGAACAAGAGAAAGGTTGGGTGGGTGGTGGAGGCATATAAACTTTTCTGAGCATCCATAGAAGCATTAACGATATGCCAGATGCATGCATAAATTACTTTCCAAAATTCACAGTTACAAAAACAAGTCTGATTGCACAATATTCTGCTTTGGAACATGAATTGTGATTGGTCCATTATGATATTGTTACAGGATCATAACAACCTCTCTCATTGGTTGCTTTGATAATTTTATATTCCACTTTGATTATAATGGCAGATGGTCACATATCAGGAGTGTTTTATGCTTTGGATATAACGCCATTTAACAATGTTTTTCAGACAACCAGACAACAGCACACACTGCTTTTCATTTAACAATTTTGGTTCTTTTAAAGTTGTTGTGATATGCAGCAGACTGGTCATGAGATCATGTGATCCAACCTGATCTGCTTTTGACGAAAAGAGTCAAAATCTGTCAAAGTTATCGTCTGGTGGGTCGGATGCCTTTGTATAACATCCAGATGCTACGCATTGAGCACTTCTATTCATCACAAATGGGCCAGAAAAACAAATGTTCCAACAAACTAGTCTTTGGTTACAGTGAGCTACAGTGAGCTACAACTACCTTTGACAAGGTAGACACCAATTATATTGATAACAACTTCGTTAATACTGTAAAAAGCGACGTTTCGGTATAGATACGTATAGAAACGTCGCTTTTTACAGTAAAAAAGAAGTTGTTATCCTTAAAATTGTGTCTACCTTGTCATCCATCAACTTCTAAGTAATGCCTAGCAAACAATTAACAACTACCTTTATTGCGATATATATATATACCTATAAAGCGCTTGAAAAGCTAAATCCATTTGAGAATGTTCTGTTGTTTTAAATGAAAATTCCTTTAATAAAAGTCTTTTTAATTTTGAACATGATAGTTCAATAATGAGGCCTCAAAAGTATCTCCATTGTAACGTTTTGATTGCGTCAAGTCGATGCCACAACAAGTTATTGTTTTCGTCATGTGACTATGATCCAAGCACGACAGGTTAGAACAGAGAGGGTTAAGTTTGGAACAAGATGCAGTGGGAGGGGGTAGCAATAAAATGCCGGCGTTGGCTGATCGAGGCGGGAACACTCACCACTCCTTGGAGGGCTCCACCTGGCGGTCTAGTTCCAGGAAGTCTCGCTGGCTCATCCAATCGTCACTCAGGTACTTGGACCTATCACAGACAAGATAACATGTCAAACAGACGGTTACAAAACTGTCCCCTGGGTGCACACATTGCACATATAAACAAATACACGTGCACACTAACATACAGCAACACACAAACAAACCACCTGCCTTCAATGTTCACACACACAGACACACACACATTAACACACACACACACACATAGGCCTTACATGTTGTACACATCCAAGGCCTAACATAAACACACACATAGGCCTTACATGTACACACACACCACTGGCCTTACATGTACACACACATCACAGGCCTTACATGTACACACACACCACAGGCCTTACATGTACACACACACCATAGGCCTTACATGTACACACACACCACTGGCCTTACATGTACACACACACCACTGGCCTTACATGTACACACACACCACAGGCCTTACATGTACACACACACCACAGGCCTTACATGTACACACACACCACTGGCCTTACATGTACACACACACCACAGGTCTTAAATGTACACACACACCACAGTCCTTACATGTACACACACACCACAGGCCTTACATGTACACACACACCACAGGCCTTACATGTACACACACACCACTGGCCTTACATGTACACACACACCACAGGCCTTACATGTACACACACACCACTGGCCTTACATGTACACACACACCACAGGTCTTACATGTACACACACACACCACAGGCCTTACATGTACACACACACCACTGGCCTTACATGTACACACACACCACTGGCCTTACATGTACACACACACCACGGGCCTTACATGTACACACACACCACAGGCCTTACATGTACACACACACACCATAGGCCTTACATGTACACACACACCACTGGCCTTACATGTACACACACACACCACAGGCCTTACATGTACACACACACATAGGCCTTACATGTACACACACACATAGGCCTTACATGTACACACACACCACTGGCCTTACATGTACACACACACCACAGGCCTTACATGTACACACACACCACAGGCCTTACATGTACACACACACCACAGGCATTACATGTACACACACACCACTGGCCTTACATGTACACACACACCACAGGCCTTACATGTACACACACACCACAGGCCTTACATGTACACACACACCACAGGCATTACATGTACACACACACCACAGGCCTTACATGTACACACACACCACGGGCCTTACATGTACACACACACCACAGGCCTTACATGTACACACACACCACAGGCATTACATGTACACACACACACACACCACAGGCCACATACACCACAGGCCTTACATGTACACACACACCACAGGCATTACATGTACACACACACCACAGGCCTTACATGTACACACACACCACGGGCCTTACATGTACACACACACCACAGGCCTTACATGTACACACACACCACAGGCCTTACATGTACACACACACCACAGGCCTTACATGTACACACACACACACACCACAGGCCACATACACCACAGGCCTTACATGTACACACACACCACAGGCCTTACATGTACACACACACCACAGGCCTTACATGTAAACACACACACACACCACTGGCCTTACATGTACACACACACCACAGGCCTTACATGTACACACACACCACAGGCCTTACATGTAAACACACACACACACACCACTGGCCTTACATGTACACACACACCACAGGCCTTACATGTACACACACACACACACCACAGGCCTTACATGTACACACACACATACACCACAGGCCTTACATGTACACACACACACACCACGGGCCTTACATGTACACACACACCACAGGCCTTACATGTACACACACACCACAGGTCTTACATGTACACACACACCACAGGTCTTACATGTACACACACACCACAGGCCTTACATGTACACACACACCACTGGCCTTACATGTACACACACACACACACCACTGGCCTTACATGTACACACACACACACACCACAGGCCTTACATGTACACACACACCACAGGCCTTACATGTACACACACACCACAGGTCTTACATGTACACACACACCACAGGTCTTACATGTACACACACACCACAGGTCTTACATGTACACACACACACCACAGGCCTTACATGTACACACACACACCACAGGCCTTACATGTACACACACACCACTGGCCTTACATGTACACACACACCACAGGTCTTACATGTACACACACACCACAGGTCTTACATGTACACACACACACCACAGGCCTTACATGTACACACACACCACTGGCCTTACATGTACACACACACACACCACAGGCCTTACATGTACACACACACACACCACAGGCCTTACATGTACACACACACCACAGGCCTTACATGTACACACACACACACCACAGGCCTTACATGTACACACACACCACAGGCCTTACATGTACACACACACACACACCACAGGCCTTACATGTACACACACCACAGGTCTGACATAAACACACACACACACACACCACAGACCACACACCACACACACACACCACAGGCCTTACATGTACACACACACACACCACAGGCCATGTGTGTACATGTGTACACACACAAACACACACCATAGGCCTTACATGTGTGTCTGCACAAGCATATATGCACTCACACATGCACACACTCACACAAACACACACACGCCACAGGTCTTACATTTACACACACACACCACAGACAAAGCAGGGCTTACATGTAGTTCCTGATGGAGTCCGGCAGGATGACCACACATCTCTGACCTTCCTTTAGGCCAAAGTCTCGGATGGCTTTCACTGCACAGGCCATGGCTGACCCTGAACTGCCACCTGCAAGGTCAAGGTCATATACTAAAGTCAGTCAGTCAAGAATTCCACATTGTTTCCACTTGCTTATTTGTGTTGATCTGGAACTGATTTCATTTTCAAATTCATCAAATGATATATAATCATACCAATTTCAATCAAAACAATTTTGCAAATAGGTCACTTTCATGATTTTAGAAAATTTGCTGGGATGTCCTTCCATACCATCAACAAAAAGTGAAATATGTTTGGGATATTTTGGATAACAGCCAGTCAATGTCCTCAAAAATGAACCAATCAGTAACCCTGGAATTGTCATTGCCATGGACCATTCTGATCATGACCTTGGAGTGACCTTGTTTGTTTTTAGCCAAATGCACAAAGTAGTCCCTCCTCATGGATTATCCCTCGATCAACTCTCCACAAAGTAGTCCCTCCTCATGGATTATCCCTCGATCAACTCTCCACAAAGTAGTCCCTCCTCATGGATTATCCCTCAATCAACTCTCCACAAAGTAGTCCCTCATCACAGATTATCCCTCGATCAACTCACCACAAAGTAGTCCCTCCTCACAGATTATCCCTCGATCAACTCACCACAAAGTAGTCCATCCTCACGGATTATCCCTCGATCAACTCACCACAAAGTAGTCCCTCATCACAGATTATCCCTCGATCAACTCACCACAAAGTAGTCCCTCCTCACAGATTATCCCTCGATCAACTCACCACAAAGTAGTCCATCCTCACGGATTATCCCTCGATCAACTCTCCACAAAGTAGTCCCTCATCACAGATTATCCCTCGATCAACTCACCACAAAGTAGTCCCTCCTCACAGATTATCCCTCGATCAACTCACCACAAAGTAGTCCATCCTCACGGATTATCCCTCGATCAACTCACCACAAAGTAGTCCCTCATCACAGATTATCCCTCGATCAACTCACCACAAAGTAGTCCCTCCTCACAGATTATCCCTCGATCAACTCACCACAAAGTAGTCCATCCTCACGGATTATCCCTCGATCAACTCACCACAAAGTAGTCCCTCCTCACAGATTATCCCTCGATCAACTCACCACAAAGTAGTCCCTCCTCACAGATTATCCCTCGATCAACTCACCACAAAGTAGTCCCTCATGACGGATTATCCCTCGATCAACTCACCACAAAGTAGTCCCTCCTCACGGATTATCCTTCGATCAACTCACCACAAAGTAGTCCCTCCTCACGGATTATCCCTCAATCAACTCACCACAAAGTAGTCACTCATCACAGATTATCCCTCGATCAACTCACTACAAAGTAGTCCCTCATCACGGATTATCCCTCGATCAACTCACCACAAAGTAGTCCCTCCTCACCGATTATCCCTCGATCAACTCACCACAAAGTAGTCCCTCCTCACGGATTATCCCTCGATCAACTCACCACAAAGTAGTCCCTCATGACGGATTATCCCTCGATCAACTCACCACAAAGTAGTCCCTCCTCAAGGATTATCCCTCGATCAACTCACCACAAAGTAGTCCCTGCTCATGGATTATCCCTCGATCAACTCACCACAAAGTAGTCCCTCCTCACGGATCATCCTCCTCGCCATAATGAAGGAGTCCTTGTCCACCGATTTGTACCACTTGTCCACAAACTGAAACAGTCACATACCTGTCAACTGAGTCTCACACATTTATCACCTATGTCACGCTCACACGCAAGGTTGGGAAATTCTCGCACATTCATATAAAATGTAGATAAAAATATTTTGAAACACTTTTCTCTTTCGATTTAACGCGATTGCAACCAACACGGCAAGAGTGGGTTCATTCTTTCCCCTTTCGCGCAATTACTTGTCGTTATTTCAGAATACATGCTCTCTAAGGCCATTAAAATGGTCTTAAAATCATTCTGGACCCAGCGGGGCTTGCAGCCCCTGCACCCTGGCTTCTCACTCATTTAGACATCCAGGGGTTGACAGCTATGCAGTCAGAGTTCACAAACATTCACAAACATTTTCTGGACATAAGGCAAGTGTATTTCGCTTGCAGAGAATTAAAACGTCTGAAAATGCTTCTATCTTATTTAATACAATCACATCCTTACTCCGATACGAACTTTCTCTGCATGAAAGTATGAGGACACGGATATGATATGGTTGCCTTTAAGTGGCAAGTCTCTTCCAAAGGGGGGGGCTTCTGGAGGGGCTACCCCTTCTGTTTTTACATCTGATGACATTTGGTTTGAGCATTGCCTACCAATGGTTTACATATCATGTGTGTGAACTATTTGTTAGACTTTCGTGCAGACCACACACACAGAGCCGAGCCGAGCCGAGCACTGATGGTACAAATAGCCCAAGTGGAACACGCACACCCTATTCAAAACCCTGGATCCCCCCTGCCTCAGGTTAACCCTGAGTCAACATCAACTGCCCAATAAAATGAAGGATTCATGGGTTCTGGAGCCAACCATATGTAAGATTCCTTTCTAAAACAATTCAGCTTCATTTCTTAACCACCCCCATTCCGAAATTTTGATCATAGCAAACGAACAGGACATGTATACCCTCAATATTACACCAGGGGTTGATTCAAAGACCTTGTTTAACTTGCACCAAGTTCATGAGACAAAACTTGGTTGCACCCTGGTCCCATAAATTTATCAAAGTTGAAACATAGGCACGTCTACTGCAAGTGTCACATTAATTGATGACACATTGCTGTAAATCATATAGTCACATAATCTTGAAGTACCCACAGTTTGATGACGTCAAGCCTAGAAAAGCATGACAATTACACGAAACACAGGGATTAGGGATGTAGTAAGGTAAATAAACTTTAAAGGTAAGGACTATGTTTAAAGAAGTGTACAAGTAAGGGTAAGTCCATCTTCCCAGGGCAAGGACATTCAATGGTGTTAACTGACTACAAAAGTCCAGTTTCCAACCTTGACAAACTAGGCTGTCAGTTAACGCCCTTGCCTCTAGAAGATGGGTTTAGTCAGACACAAATTCTTTTTTTTTTACATGTACTTGGTGCATGTAGACATAAATATTAGCTTGCTTGCATTTTGGAATGACCTGTAAATGCATGCCTAAATCAAGCCCTGTACACCATTTTGGGTGTAGATAACATGGCGCTCATGGCAAGATTATTTTTTTAGATGTTCACTCTGAGAAGTTTCGTATCAGAGTAAGCGACTGATGTCAATGAGATAGGAAATTGTTGATGTGCATCTTCCCTAGGCAAGAGAGTTTACCGACTACTAAAAGTCCTTTTTCCACCCTTGCCCAACTTGGCTGGAATTCCTGGGCGAGATCATAGCGCCACCAGTTATGTCCCTTCTAAGCCTCTCCTATCGACCAATCAGATTCCACCTTTGTACCACTTCAAACAAAACGGCGGCGCTCAGCCAAGACGATCTGATCAATAATCTAAGATTTATATTGTATTTCATCGTGCAGTGCATCAAATCACGTGAGCACCTTGTTTAAAAACATGAAAATATTTCGAAAATATCTGTTGACGACGAGTTGGCGGTGCACATGCTTGGCAAATCCTGCAATCGACCAAAATCTGCACGACAGTTTACGAACTGGATTTCGATTTAGCTGCGCGATTTTGATTGGACTATGCATAGACTTGTTAGTCCAGCCAAAATATAACTCCATAATACCAGCCTAGTTCAGCAAAGGTGGAAACTGGACTTTTAAATTAATTCAGTTAATTTTTACAAACCTGTAGAGGTTATGAATTCTCTGATGAAATCCTCCTTGGGGCACTTATTGCATTTTCCTTGCTCAAGAAAATCTACATGACATAGTTGTAACCATTTTCCTTAATAAAAAATGTTACCACACAAAAAACTTCGTTTTTGTATGATATACGACCACCCTTACGGGGCCTCACCCCCAACGGCGCCTCACGCCAGGGGGAGCAACTCTCACCCAAATCACTTTCCATATGTCAAATGCTGACGGAATGTGGGGAGGTGGGTGGCCGTGCCCCAAGGAGGATTTCATCAGAGAATTCATAACCTCTACAGGTTTGTAAAATTCTCTTTCTGATTAAATCCTCCTTGGGGCACTTGCATCAAGACAGACTCCTAAAGATAATCTAGGAAGTGGCATCCGTCAGCAACAGGCGTAAATAAATACATCGTATTTGATTATTCAACAGAATAAAATATTGAGTTCAATAAATGGAACCAACCTTATCGTGAGGCACCACCGTCGAAAGGCGGGGGCTAGAGACAGGGCGTGGTCGACCATATATTATTATAAAGCCTGTTTTTGCGGCTTGTCATAAGTTGAGAACTCGAAACACCTCCCACCCCCCCCCACACTTTTTTTGAACAAGTGATATAAGGGCGTAGATCACGAGAGACCATAACCAGCGCTGAGCTAGGCCAGAGGGTCCTCGAGGATCGAAGGAGTGCGTGCGCAAAATACGAGTATTATCGAGTAGTAAGGACTGATATTTATCGACCGCAGAAGATAAAATCCGGACCATTACTGAGCAGTATAACCGGAAGACTGTCTAAAATCTTGAATGCTCAATCAGCTAGAGATCAGAACTTTGCCCAGTTCGGAGAACTGACTGACCAAACCGAGTACGCTCGCTTGAGTGTTTGTCGAGTTGGTAAGGTTTGATGAATCGTGCTCGGCTGGCTCCAAATAGCCGCGGAGCAGATCTGCTCAATGGGCAGAGCCGCGGCGTACGCTTTTGACGCAGCCACTGCTCTAACCTAATGAGCCTTCAACCTGGTAGGGGGGTCCCTGCCTGTAAGCGTATACGCTGTACAAATGGTTGAAACTATCCACCTCGAGATAGATTGTTTACTCGCAGGTGAGCCAACCTTCCTACCGCAGTAACAGCAAAATAGTTGGTTATCCTTACGGACACCCATATTTCTGCTGATATAGGCCTTGAGAGTCGTGCGGACATCCAAGACATGAGCATGTCTTGCAGTGGTCCCCGACGAGGAAGGCTGTGAAAGAGCAGGTAGCTCAATAGGAGCCGTTCACGTGGAATCGTGTGCGACCCTAGGACGGTAATAGTCCGGTAGACGAAAACTGACTGTCCCGGTGATATTTATCGACCCCATGGAAGACAGTTATTTTGGGATCGGCTGACATAACACGAATGTCGCCTACCCGTCTGCCGGACGTTACCACCACAAGGAACGCCGTCTCCCAGCTCAACAGCTGAAGAGAGAGAGACGACAGATCCCGAAAGGAAGGACCGGACAGCCAATCGAGAATGATTGACAAGTCCCAAGGGGGACTGATCCGCCGGACTGGCGGTCGGATCCTGTCCACACCTGCTAAAAAGCGCTGCACTAATGGGTGTGCACCCAGAAGTGCCCCGTCGACAGGGACATGAAAAGCTGCGATAGCTGTAGAGTACCCTCGGACTGTTGATGCGGCCAGGCCGTCATCTAGTCGCGACTGGAGAAACTCAAGCACGGATACGAGATCTGCAGAAAAAAGATCTGCAATCCCTCTATCGACACACCAGGGCGCATAGCAGGCCTATCTATCGTACTGAACGTTTGTCGAATCCCTCCGCGAAGCCAGTATTGTGTCTGCAACTCGTGCAGGAATACCGCTCTTCTGGAGGCGATTCCTGACAGTGGCCAAGCCACCGATTGAATCCTGAGATGGAGGTGGAGGGCCCCGTTCTGGGATAGGAGGTCCGGTCGTAAAGGTAATATAACAGGAGGCTGAGCCAGAAACCTGAGTATTACTGGAAACCCACTCTGCGCCGACTAAAGAGGTGCCAGGAGCACAATTAGTCGCGCAGGCTGAGTGCCTAGCTGAGACAGGACCTTGGAAATCAGAGGTACTGGGGAGAATGCCCACAGAACTGTCCGTCCAATCTAGCTGAAAGGCGTCCGGTGCCACCGACCTCGGGTCGTGGACTCGGGAGCAGAACGTTGGTGTCTGGTTATTTAACCCAGACGCAAACAGATCCACCTGTAACGACCTGTATAACAGGGAGAAAATCCCGAATATCCCCGGGTCGAGCCTCCACTCGTGAGGAGCGAGGATCCGGCAAGACAGAGCGTCCGCACGGACATTGTCCACCCCCGGGAGATAAACAGGTAGCACCCTGATATCGTGAGAGTCGCACTATAGTAGGAACTGCCACGTCTTTCGTCGAAGCGACGGAGACGCCGTTCCCCCCTGCTTCCGGATGTAAGTCATCGCCGTTTGGTTGTCCATCTCTAGACGAACCACTTGGCCACGAAGCAGTTCCGGGAAGCGTTGGAACACCAACCTGACCGCTCTCAGTTCTAGCACATTGATATGCAGTTTGATCTCCTGCTGGGACCATAGTCCCGAGGCAGTGTGATCATTCAGAACGACTCCCCAGCCGGAGAGTGACGCGTCTGTTTGAACTGTGAGAGACGGAACGGGAGTGATTCCCGACCTCGGTCCACCACTGGAGGTGTGTAATGAGCCACTACGGAGTCTCGAGCACAGTCTCGAGATCTTCCGAGTTCGCCCAAAGTCGACGGAGTGCTTGTTGAATGGGACTCATTCTCAAGCGCGCCCGCCAGACCAAATCCACTGTCGCCGCCATGTTGTCCAGTAACTGGAGCCATGTACGAGCAGTGTGACTTGCGCTTAAGGGACTTGATATCTTGTGACAGAGATACACGTCCTCTCACCGTGTTGAAATTAGGCACTAGGAAGACTACATTCTGAGTGGGGCTCAGATCTCACTTCTTGAGATTGACCATACACCCTAGAGTGATCAGAATATCTATCACTTGTTGTGTAGCTATCTGACTCAGGGATTGCAATAGAGCTCTTAGTAACCAGTCGTCGAGGTACGGATGGCAGAACCGACCTTTTGACCTGGCCACTTGGGCGGGAATCAACATCAGCTTGGTGAACACCCTCGGGGCCGTGGAGATCCCGAATGGTAGAACCCTGAACTGATAACACCTCCCGTCGAAAGAAAACCTCAGGTATTTCTTGAACTCGGGGTGTATTGGTATGTGGAGATAGGCGTAGTTTAAGTCTATTGACGTTAGCCTTTCTCCTGTCTCGACAGTTGAGATCACTGTTTGGTGACTAGGAAACAAGTCGAGTAGAAGCCCTCGCTTTCCTGTCCCTCGGGACCCGGTTCGATCGCAGCTTTCATAAGAAGTGCGTCGACCTCGGCACGGAGGAATTCCGCCTTCTCTCGGGTAGCAGGCACCGGAGTGTGCTTTATCCCGGAAAAGTGGAGGAGCGGATGAGTTTTCCACCGAGGCAAATGGCCATCCCTTAAAATGGACGGGGTCCGGGGATTGTGATGTAACTGTCTCCCATTCCTTCAGGAATAGAGCCAGTCGGCCGCCTACGGGGACATCCGGCTGGGGGCAGTGGACCCCGGCTGTCGGCAGTTCGATAACTTGCGACTGTGGGTTCACCCGGGGCTCTTCGGGCGCTAATGGTAACCCATCGTTCCCAGCCCCGCGAAAAAGCTGTTGGCCTCGACCAGCTGCCTTGCCCCGGCCCGTGCCTCTCTTCCTCCCGGCGCCCTTATACCTGAAGGAAGCGGCGGCTTCCAAGCAGGTGTGGACGTCTGACCCGTGCGTTAGCGTAGGAGGGGACAATTGGAGAGGCCCGCTTACGCGGTTTTAACGCTTGGTACCTCCAACAAGGCCTTATGAGTCTTTGATGGAAGTATACAATTGAGCAGCCCCTCGGACCACCTGCTGAGCCCCAGGGAAGAGGGTGGCACCCTCTTATACGGCAAAGCAAGTAGGTCTTGGCGTGTGTAAGTCGAGTATTTAGATACCGACATCCACCGCCTGCGCATGCCCATAACAGCGCACATCATCTGCGAGGCACAGCTACGAATAGCGTCCCGCGCAAGATAACTGAACTTCCGTTAGTTGCGCGGCCAACTCCGAAGAGTCGGCCGGCCCCTCTCCCGCTAACTCCCTCTGTACAGCCGACAGATACGCGGAGTGTACGGACACACGGAGCTGTTGGCATGCATTATGATATTGCTCCTCGAAGCATATGTAAGCAGCCTTCAACTCCGCACCGCACACGGGAAAGGGGGGGCAACCGCCGGCCCCTGGACAATCCTGTCCCGCACGTGTCTCTGCACCCGGCCCGAGGCCGAGTCCCGGTGCCGAGGTGCCGGGGGTTCAAGTGAACCCACCTGGCGCCGGGCTATGTATCCACTAGTGGAAGCCTCGGCCTCGGAAGAGGCGTCTGGCTCCGCTAGGGAAAATTGTGCGTCGGTAGTGCACGGGCCGGTGCCCGCCACCACTACGCTGGGGAGCGACCTCGAGCCGGAGCCGAAGCTTGGTCTCGGATCGTCCCCGAGACAAAGGGAACCAACCTGGCTCCGGGCTAGGTATCCAATAGTGGAAACCTCGGCCTCGGAAGAGGCGTCTGGCTCCGCTAGGGAAAATTGTGCGTCGGTAGTGCACGGGCCGGTGCCCGCCACCACTACGCTGGGTAGCGACCTCGAGCCGGAGCCGAAGCTCGGTCTCGGATCGTCCCCGAGACAAAGGGAACCAACCTGGCTCCGGGCTAGGTATCCACTAGTGGAAGCCTCGGCCTCGGAAGAGGCGTCTGGCTCCGCTAGGGAAAATTGTGCGTCGGTAGTGCACGGGCCGGCGCCCGCCACCCCTCCGCTGGGGAGCGACCTCGAGCCGGCGCCGAAGCCCGGTCTGAGATCGTCCCCGAGACCAAGTGGCCTGCCTCGGCCGACGCCGGGCATATCACAAGGTCTCGAAGCCGCGTCCGGCGCCGACAACGGGGAAGGCTCGGTCCGCATCTCCTCTCGGAGCTGAGACTTTACCTCCTCCATCATCGACGCCATCTGCGACTTAAGAAACGCAGAAAAGTCTGCCAAAGACAGTGCAGGAGAGGGTGCAGTGCTTACTACGGGGACCCTCGAGCCTTCTCCCCCGGCCCCCGGAGAGGGAGCGGGGGAGACAATCTCGACAGCTTTTTTACCCTTTTTAGATGGGGAGGGGGGGGGGGGATGTCTTAGTAGATCTGATATCTACCCCCGCCTTTAATAGACCTCTTTAAAGTGGAACAAGTCAACTTGTCTCTTTTTGGGGGCCCCGGGGGGTAAAGGCAATGTCCTCCGCCAGACATATTAGGCAGCGTTCGTGCCTGTCTTAGAACAACCCGTACACAGTTTGAAGGTCTTGTACTCTAACAAGACCGTAATTTCTGAGGTGGGCGGGAAGGGTGTCAACGTGTATCAGTGCGATATAAAGATCGGGAAGATACGTGCATAAATTGTGAAACTAGAAGCAAAGGCGTAATGTACAATGTCGATTTGTAACGCGATACTAATAGCCAATGTCGTAGTATAATTATAACACCAAAGGGGCGTGTTACGCGCTAAGGTGTAAAACCCGTAAAAAAGGTAAGTGTAGTTTATGAGTTAACACACCACCTTGGGTTTTGTAAAGGAAAAAATTGTAGACCAATGCTGTATGATATAACAAAACCCAAAGCCGTTTCTTAATGGCCTTGGTGTTACATGTATCAGCCCGTGGAACTACAATATGGACGCCATTACGGCCATTGAATTCAAAGGTACCGTGCACGTGGCGTATTATTACAACTCTATAACTTCACAATGCGAGGTATTACGCCTTTGCAATGAAAGAAATGTACCATACATACAGTTTGGTCAGCCATGGTTCTTGTCGAACGATAGATTTCTCTTATTTTTGTCTTGTGTGAAAAATCAACACGTCTGTCTCTTACAGATGACATAAGGAAAGTGATTTGGGTGAGAGTTGCTCCCCCTGGCGTGAGGCGCCGTTGGGGGTGAGGCCCCGTAAGGGTGGTCGTATATCATACAAAAACGAAGTTTTTTGTGTGGTAACATTTTTTATTAAGGAAAATGGTTACAACTATGTCATGTAGATTTTCTTGAGCAAGGAAAATGCAATAAGTGCCCCAAGGAGGATTTAATCAGAAAGAGAATCTCTTGCCTCGGGAAGATGGTTTTGATGGAAGTGATGTGTTTGTTGTCTGTACCCACCTTCCTCTCACACACGGTAGGCAGGAAGTCGTAGCCGATGCCCTCCACCTCGTAGAACATCTTGTCCGTTTTGTTCAGCTCCTCTGGCTCGGCAATGATGGAGCCCTCGGGGTCCACGCCAATGATCTGAGCAAAACACAAACCACCTCATGCACTGAAAACAATCACCTTTGTTCTTCCTGACCATCCCTACTATCCTTTCTATGAAAGGGTTTCCTGACCATCCCTGCTATCCTTGCTAAGAAAGGGTTTCCTAACTATCCCTGCTATCCTTTCAATAAAAGGGTTTCCTAACCATCCCTGCTATCCTTTCTATGAAAGGGTTTCCTAACCATCCCTGCTCTCCTTTCTATGAAAGGGTTTCCTAACCATCCCTGCTATCCTTTCTATGAAAGGGTTTCCTAACCATCCCTGCTCTCCTTTCTATGAAAGGGTTTCCTAACCATCCCTACTATCATTTCTATGAAAGGGTTTCCTAACCATCCTACTATCCTTTCTATGAAAGGGTTTCCTAACCATCCCTACTATCCTTTCTATAAAAGGGTTTCCTGACCATCCCTGCTATCCTTTCTATGAAAGGGTTTCCTAACCATCCCTGCTATCCTTTATATGAAAGGGTTTCCTGACCATCCCTGCTATTCTTTCTATGAAAGGGTTTCCTAACCATCCCTGCTATCCTTTCTATGAAAGGGTTTCCTGACCATCCCTGCTATCCTTTCTATGAAAGGGTTTCCTAATCATCCCTGCCATCCTTTATATGAAAGGGTTTCCTGACCATCCCTGCTATTCTTTCAATGAAAGGGTTTCCAAACCATCCCTACTATCCTTTCTATGAAAGGGTTTCCTAACCATCCCTGCTATTCTTTCTATGAAAGGGTTTCCTAACCATCCCTGCTATCCTTTCTATGAAAGGGTTTCCTAACCATCCCTACTATTCTTACAATGAAAAGGTTTCCTGACCATCCCTGCTATCCTTTCTATGAAAGGGTTTCCTAACCATCTCTGCTATTCTTTCTATGAAAGGGTTTCCTAACCATCCCTGCTATCCTTGCTAAGAAAGGGTTTCCTAACCATCCCTGCTCTCCTTTCTATGAAAGGGTTTCCTAACCATCCCTACTATCATTTCTATGAAAGGGTTTCCTAACCATCCTACTATCCTTTCTATGAAAGGGTTTCCTAACCATCCCTACTATCCTTTCTATAAAAGGGTTTCCTGACCATCCCTGCTATCCTTTCTATGAAAGGGTTTCCTAACCATCCCTGCTATCCTTTCTATGAAAGGGTTTCCTAACCATCCCTTCTATGCTTTCTATGAAAGGGTTTCCTGACCATCCCTGCTATCCTTTCTATGAAAGGGTTTCCTAACCATCCCTACTATCCTTTCTATAAAAGGGTTTCCTGACCATCCCTGCTATCCTTTCTATGAAAGGGTTTCCTAACCATCCCTGCTATCCTTTCTATGAAAGGGTTTCCTAACCATCCCTTCTATGCTTTCTATGAAAGGGTTTCCTGACCATCCCTGCTCTCCTTTCTATGAAAGGGTTTCCTAACCATCCCTGCTATCCTTTGTATGAAAGGGTTTCCTAACCATCCCTGCTATCCTTTGTATGAAAGGGTTCCCTAACCATCCTGCTATCCTTTCTATGAAAGGGTTTCCTAACCATCCCTACTATCCTTTCTATAAAAGGGTTTCCTAACCATCCTGCTATCCTTTCTATGAAAGGGTTTCCTAACCATCCCTACTATGCTTTCTATGAAAGGGTTTCCTAACCATCCCTGCTATCCTTTCTATGAAAGGGTTTCCTAACCATCCCTGCTATCCTCTCTATAAAAGGGTTTCCTAACCATCCCTGCTATCCTTTGTATGAAAGGGTTTCCTAACCATCCTGCTATCCTTTCTATGAAAGGGTTTCCTGACCATCCCTGCTATCCTTTCTATGAAAGGGTTTCCTAACCATCCCTACTATGAAAGAGTTTCCTGAATCTCTTCCACTTTCTACAGACAACTTTTGGTGGAGCTTTATATAAAAGTTCAATATTAATGTTAGTGGTCATCAAAATATTGCATTTATTACTCCCTAACCCTTATTTCCTTCCTCACCTTACAGTTGGGGCACCGCTCCTTAATCTTCCTGGCCACGCCCGTCAACGTGCCCCCCGTGCCCGCACCCAGCACCAGCATATCCAGCTTGTCTGAAACAAGGGAGATGGGCCAAGCCCGTCAACACTGCCAAACAAGTGTAACAGTCACAAGGACTTAACTTGAATTGCAAATGCCATTGTCAGCCGAATTGTAAAAATTGTAAAAAAATATTTTTCATATATATATTTTCTCCAATTCAGGGGTATCTTAACACTGCATATTGACAACATTCAATACATTAATGTGAAACTAAGCACTGAAACCTCTTCCTCTTGTTTGGCCTTGTTCTCAGCCAAATAACACTATGTTTTTACCTCTGTGAACACATAACACAACTATAAGACTTGGAACTGAATATCAGTCTCTGACCAGATCCAGATAAATCCTCTGTCATATTCCTGCTTTCAAAATCAAGGATAAAATCAAGTTTTCCTTGTTGTTATGTTGAAAGATATGAAATGAAAGATATACGCCCCTATACTACAGCATGAACCCAGAGCCCTTGTGTTATTTCGAACCCAGACCTATCCTAAATCATTTCTTCCGGATACGATTAACCTGTGGAACACTCTACCCAATGAAGTTACTAATTCTTGCTCATTAAAAGAATTCAAATCCTTAATCGTTCTGATACAATTATTAATAATTTTGACCTAAAATAAGGTCATAGATCATGCCAAATTGTCCACTGTCGCCTTAGGCTCGGCTGCAGTGACCTTAACGCTGTTTAGTTTAGACGACATGTATGAGACATATCAGACTGCACTTGTGGGTATCACTTTGAAGACGCAATTCACTTTTTCTATACCTGTCAAAAATACCATAATATAAAAAAACACTATGTATTTCTACACACATGGGTATGATTTAAAAACGATATTACATGGCAGTAGTTCAGTCAGCAGTTCTACAAACACGACTATTCTTAAATCAGTTCACGATTTCATTGTCAAAAGCAAAATATTCGAGTAGCTTAATTTTATGCATGTAGTAATGGAAAACTGCTATATCATATTTCACAGACACCACTTGTATTGGCTTCATATATTTCATTTGTGCATTTAGTATGTTTATGTTTAGCCCTATCTTATATATAACCAGCTGCTGTAAAGTTGTTACCTGGAGAGGTATTTACATAAGCAAGTTTTGCTTGTTTACTGATCCAGATTTCTTTTGAAATAAAAATATGTTTAAACCATTTTGAACCCTGGTTACATCACAATCTCATTAAAATCAGATCCTAGTTCTCGCTACCGCTAAACAAAAATCTGAGGACATCCCATTAGGGGTCACGTCAGAACCACCTTTCACCCGACCAATCAGAGCGTCCCTTACCAGATTATGAAAGTGACAGTCGGAATGTGATTTCTTATCATGCAACCTCGAAAACTTTATTCCGAACGATAGTTACGGGTTTAACGACTGAATCCATACAATCTAGACTATCTATTAGCCATTCCAGAACGTTCTTTTTTCAGGTTTCAAATTTGTAATCGAGAATTTGTCAAAATATGTTTCGAAGAGTAGTCGCCAATTTGAAATTAGTGCCGTAAAGCACGAGAAAGCTGCCTTCTGATTGGTCATTCCCTTAGTCAGACAAAGTGCGCAAGGTCGGTCTGACGTGACATAACGGGATGTCCTCAGATCTTTGTTTAGCGGTAGCGAGAACTAGGATCTGATTTTAATGAGATTGGGTTATATCATCTCGCATCAGTCTGCAGGAGGAGGAAATACTGTAAATCTTGAAATTAACGCGAGCGTGAATTAAATGCGAAAAATGCGAGTGGTCTTTGCTCGCATTATTAAACATCGCATTTATATCAACAATAAGACATTTTGGGTAGCAGAAATACCAACTTAGACATACGCTGAAAACAAACAACTATGTATTCGACATCACTGTTTATTGAGGAGCACTTGTTACAAGTATATAAACAATGTCATTCAAACACTAATTACATCCTGTGAATCGTCACTGCTGGGGCCAAGACAAGTGTTCTACTCACTTATTTCATCACTGATCACACCTGCAAGTCCAGACAGACGCCACCCAACACAGTGTCTTTGTTCTTTGCAACTGCGTCAAAGGCCGACACGAGCCAGCACGCATGTATTGCTTTAGCGGGAATACTCTACTCGGCGGTTATAAGCTGTGCTATTTGGTGTGTGATTAGATTAAGGTGAGGATTCTCCTATAAACCTTTATTTCCAGATTTACAGTTCTCACACAGGATGTTTATTTGTTTGTTTGTTGTTTAACGCCTCACTCAGCAATATTCCAACCGTATGACGGCGGTCTGTAAATAATCGAGTCTGGACCAGACATCATGGGCATCGATCCACACAATTGGGATCGATGACATTTCTCAACCAAGTCAGCGAGCCTGACCACCCGATCCCATTAGTCGCCTTTTACGACAAGCATAGTCGCCTTTTACGACAAGCATAGTCGCCTTTTACAGCAAGAATGGGTTGCTGAAGACCTATTCTACCCCAGATCTTTATGGGTCCGTCTGGGGTTGACAGACCTAGCATCATTAGGAAAAAGGTTGCACACTTCAGTGAATGTGTGAGTGAGTTTGGTTTAATGCCATTTTGAAAAGTATTCCAGTCAAATCACAGCCTGTCTGCTTAATGTTGGAGGAAAGTATTGGTTCTCAGGCAATGGTTTTTGAAAATATAGTGCGGGCCAGCGGTGTCTTTTTTGGTGGTGGGGTGGGTGTGTGTGTGTTCAAACTAGTTTGTAACCAGTTGTGTACAATCAATCTGGAATACAGTATTTGACTACTGTTGGACTTTTGAGGATTTTTTGTTGTTTTTTATAAAATAGAAATAAAAACGAAACGTGCTGTGAATTTTATGATGATGCAGTCGATGCCTGAGAACCAAGACTTGTATTTTTTTTCGTCTCAACCCCTGCATTGTGACCCCTGGAAATATCTGGACCATCCATTGATTCATATATCCAGGTCTCAACGCAGGTCTCATCAAGTCTTTACAGAGTTTTCACAAGATGATGAAGAAGAAATAGTCTCACCATCACAGGACTTGAGGATCTCCTCTGCAGTTCCGTCGTAGTGAGCCAGGGGGTTGCTAGCGTTCCGGTACTGAAACACATCATGAATATTCACGAGGTCAAGGCTACTTCGAAGGGTTTAACCTTGACCTACAAAACTAGGGGTCAGGGGAACCCCTAATCGTTAACTTCAAGAGTTGTTACAGGAAATATGGTCCTGTCAGTTCATGAAACGATGTATTGTATTGTACTGCAAGATCTTAAATTACTTTTAATTGCAAGACCTTTATACTTCTTGTCCAGAATTTGGTACAATGATTAATATTGTAAGTCCTTCATGATGCAATGTGTTTGTTTTGTATCAATTCTACACATAAATTTGTGCATATCAGAGTAGAATAGGTCTTCAGCAACCCATGCTTGCCGCAAAAGGCAACTATGCTTGTCGTAAAAGACAACTAACAGGATCGGGTGGTCAGGCTCGCTGACTTGGTTGTTGCATGTTATCATATCCTAATTGCGTGGATCAATGCTCATGATGTCAATCACAAGATTGTCTGGTCCAGATCCGATTATTTACAAAACAAAAAGCAGTAGGATTTTATGATTTATGCCAACCATATCCCAACACGCCCAACCTGGGCCTTAAGGCTTAAAAAAATAAAAGCTTAAATTCTCAGGCAATGAATTTTGAAAATATAGTGCGGGCGGGCAGTGCTTTTTTTTTCTTGTTCAAACTAGTATTTAAAGAAATAAACAGTTTTGTACCATCAACCTGGGAAAGGGCTTCCCTACATAAACAAGCATACAAACTTCTATGGCTGCCATGACCATAACACCAGATGCACAGTAAAGCAGTGCGCACGTAAAGGGAAGTAACTGCATGCTACATTGGATTGAATTGTTTTTAAGTCTTAGGATTTTATTTTTTTTTAAATGGAAATAAAAACGAAACGTGTGGCAGACTTAATGATGATGCGGGCTGTGCCTGAGAACCAAGACTATTAATATTTAAAAAAATTTTTTTAGCCTAATGGCTATTCCTTTAACATTACATCCAAGTTAGAGGGGGTGGTCGGGTAGCCTAGTGGTTAAAGCGCTGTTGTCATGCCGAAGACCCGGGTTCAAATCCCGACATGGGTACAATGTGTGAAGCCCATTTCTGGTGTCCCCCGCCGTGATATTGCTGGAATATTGCTAAAAGCGGCGTAAAACCAAACTCACTCACTCCAAGTTAGAAGTTTGGTTGTTGTTTAACAACGTTCACAGCAATATTCCCATCATCCAAATTAGAGCGTGTGGGTGTCATTTTATGCCGCTTTTAGCAATATTCCAGCAATATTCAACGGGGGACACCAGAAATGGGCTTCACACATTGTACCCATGTCGGGAATGGAACCCAGCGAACGCTTTAACCACTAGGCTACCCGACCACCCCCGATCCAAATAAGAAGAGAAGTGAATAGACTAAAAAGGTTTAGGGAAAGTCTGTCTGTGGTTAAAGTTAACAATGTGGAACATTGACAGTCCTACTTTGTTCCCATCAAGACTCAAAACCTATCTTTTCACCAAATCTTTCTGGGAGTATTGAGGCTTTGTGTTTTCCTAGCTGTGTAATGTCTCTTTTTTGTGTAGACTCAAATGAAGCGCTTTTGAGCAGTTCTTCGAACTGGATGCCAGCGCTATATAAATCTGTAGTTATTATTATTATTATCCTGGGGGAAGTTTTACTCAAGAGTATAGTATCCTAACTTATGGGGGAAATCTGGGATAGGTTATGTCCAAAAATGAAGGGTAATTCATCCCAGTGAAACATACCTAAGTGGAAGTAGGAAAATGTATACTGGGATAATACTGGAACTTGAATCAGTGTATACTTCCCCCAGGATAATGATAATAATAACTACAGATTTATATAGCGCTGGTATCCAGTTCGAAGATATCCAATGGCAGCCTATTCCATAGCTCAGGGGCAACGTTGGCGAAACTCCGACCTCCAAAAGTCGCCGTTCTAACACTAGGCACAGAGAGTAGGGACTGGCAGCTTGATCTGAGAGATAATATTTAGTAGGATATAATCCTTGCTTACACATGCACCTCTCTAGATAATGCAATCATCTTGGACGTGATTTTAAACCCCTTTTCACGTCACCTCCCATGTGGACCTACTGTATCACCAACAGGGCAGTGTGTTCACCATCTTCCCGAGGCAAGAGAGTTAACTGACTTTAAAAGAACAGTTTCTACCCTTGCCGAACTAGGCTGGAATTCCTGGGCTTGATAGTAGCGCCACAAGTGGTTATTATGAGTTATGTCCCTTCTAAGCCTCTCCTATGGACAATCAGATTCCATCACTTGCATTTGTTTCAAACAAAATGGCAGCGCCCAGTCAAGACGGTCTGATCGATAATCAAGATCTATATTGTGATAAAACGGGTCTTACATCGCGAAGAGCATCAAATCACGCGAGCACCTTGATTAAAACATGAAAAGGTTTGGAAAATATCTGTTGACAACGAGTTGGCGGTGCAAATGCTTTGCATGCTTTGCAAATCCTGCAATCAACCGAAACCTGCACGACAGTTTATGATCCGGATTTCAATTTCTTTGCGAGATTTTGATTGGACTATGCAAAGATTTGTTAGTCAAGCCAAAATGTAACTCCATAATACCAGCCTAGTTCGGCAAGGATGGAAACTGGACTTTTAAAGTCAGTTAACTCTCTTGCCTCTGGAAGATGTGTGTTCAATACTGGAGTGATAGTTTATCTCGGAGATCCTTGTACCTGATCCAAGATGTGGGAGTTCGGGATCTCCTCCATCAGACGGCGGGCCACCCCGATGTGGGACTCGGGGGAGTCGAAGGCAGCACTGGTGGGGGTCCGAACAATCTCCGCGCCCAGAGCTCGCAACACGTCCACCTGCACACATCACCAAATATAGACACACAGGGAAAAGCTTGAAGCGTTACTTTATAATCAGATGTAGGGAATACAGTTTCAAATGTTTAAATTATCCTGACAAATTTACACTGCGAAGAGCCTCTCTGTGATATTGCGATAAAACATGTTTCATAATCTCATTACTATATCTCAATGTATATGTCGATCTCAGTACATGTCAATAATGTCAAGTTCTAATGTCATTGTCAATTCATTTAAATGTCAATATATATTAGTGTCAGTATCGACCAGTGTCAATATATCTCAGTGTCAGAATATCTAAGTTTCAGTAAATCTCAGTGTCAGAAGATCTGTGTCATAATATCATGATGTCAGTATATCTCAGTGTCATTATATCTCAGTGTCAGAATATCTCAGTTTCAGTAAATCTCAGTGTCAATATATCCCAGTGTCAATATATCTCAGTGTCAGAAGATCTGTGTCAATATATCATGATGTCAGTATATCTCAGTGTCAATATATCACAATGACAATATATCATCATGTCAGTATATCTCAGTGTCAATATATCCCAAGGACAATATGTCATGCTGTCAATATATCCCAGTGTCAATATATCCCAAGGACAATATGTCATGCTGTCAGTATATCTCAGTGTCAATATATCCCAGTGTCAATATATCCCCGAGTCAATATATCCCAAGGACAATATGTCATGCTGTCAGTATATCTCAGTGTCAATATATCCCAGAGTCAATATATCCCAGTGTCAATATATACCAAGGTCAATATGTAATCCTGTCAGTATTGTGAGAGAGGAACAGTGTATCTTCCCATCACTGTACATCAACGTGTGTTACCTTCTCCATGCTCATCTTCTCTGGCATCACAATGATGCAGCGGTAGCCCTTCACCGCTGCCGCCAGGGCGATACCAATACCTGCAGAAAGAACCAGCATTCAGTCAGTGCCAGTGATGCTACAGTCACACAGACAATGTGACCACAATGCAACCTCTTGGCGACTGATTTCCTTTGTGACCGACTGGCGATCGCTGAGACCGGTGCAACCACTTCTGCCCATATTTGGAATGAGGGTATGATCACCGATCAATCAGCAATAGGTTTTACAACTTGAAATGTTTGCAACTGGTTGAGACCGATCAATGACTGGTCAGCGAATCTTTGGTGACTTGTTGCAACAAAACGGGGACTGGTCGGTGACTAGTTGTCGACCGATCACCGTTCAAAACATAATGCGCATAAAAAAAGGGTGCTTTTTTTAATCAAATAATTCCTTTGCAAGTTGTCACCGATGAAGCGCCGGTCAATCACCGCCTCATCACTGATCAATCACCAATAGGTCACCACTAGGTTGCAAAGAGGCAACACTCTTGTGTAGAAGAAACCGTCGCCACACAGTGGAAACCAATCTGCGATTCAAATAACACCACCTCTAGGAGATCAATCAAACCTCCGAGGGACAAAATCAGTCGCAGCCAGTCTTTTGTGCATGTTCAGAAGACTGGCTGCGACTGAATAGGTTTTGCTACCGCTCTGAAACCTTGTAGCGACCCCTGAAACCTCATTGTGATTGTCAAATATTTTGGTCGCCAGGAGATTGCATCGCGGTTGCATTGTCTGTGTGACTGAGGCCCACACCTGTCTACTGTATCACTTCCAGGAGACGTAAGTGTTAACCATGGTTGGAAAATTTCGCTTCATTTTTTTCACCCCTTTTAATTTCTGAATCCCCAAGTTTATTTTGTGTTGTGTTTTGCATTAAGCATTTTCAAAATGTATGTTCATTTTCAATGTATTTGGCATGGTTATTTGCGTACAAGTATGTTTATCATTGCCATTATGATTTAAACCTTGCCAGCGGGACTCAAAACAAGGAATGCCAAACCCTGTAGTGCGGTATTATTGCAGAATCAGGCCAAAAAGTGGTTCCTTCGTTGTGATATTGTGTGACAGTCGTCAGTGGCAACCAGGGATATGCTCTGTGTGACTGACAGACCTACCTCTGTTTCCGGAGGTGGGTTCAGTGTGACTGACTGACCTACCTGTGTTTCCAGAGAGGGATTCCATGTGACTGACTGACCTACCTGTGTTTCCGGAGGTGGGTTCCATGTGACTGTCTGACCTACCTGTGTTTCTGGAGGTGGATTCCATGTGACTGTCTGACCTACCTGTGTTTCCGGAGGTGGATTCCATGTGACTGTCTGACCTACCTGTGTTTCCGGAGGTGGGTTCCATGTGACTGACTGACCTACCTGTGTTTCCGGAGGTGGATTCCATGTGACTGTCTGACCTACCTGTGTTTCCGGAGGTGGGTTCCATGTGACTGACTGACCTACCTGTGTTTCCGGAGGTGGGTTCCATGTGACTGTCTGACCTACCTGTGTTTCTGGAGGTGGATTCCATGTGACTGTCTGACCTACCTGTGTTTCCGGAGGTGGATTCCATGTGACTGTCTGACCTACCTGTGTTTCCGGAGGTGGGTTCCATGTGACTGACTGACCTACCTGTGTTTCCGGAGGTGGGTTCCATGTGACTGTCTGACCTACCTGTGTTTCCGGAGGTGGGTTCCATGTGACTGTCTGACCTACCTGTGTTTCCGGAGGTGGGTTCCATGTGACTGTCTGACCTACCTGTGTTTCCAGAGGTGGATTCCATGTGACTGAAAGACATACCTGTGTTTCCGGAGGTGGGTTCCATGTGACTGTCTGACCTACCTGTGTTTCCAGAGGTGGGTTCCATGTGACTGTCTGACCTACCTGTGTTTCCGGAGGTGGATTCCATGTGACTGTCTGACCTACCTGTGTTTCCGGAGGTGGGTTCAGTGTGACTGTCTGACCTACCTGTGTTTCGGGAGAGGGATTCCGTGTGACTGTCTGACCTACCTGTGTTTCCAGAGGTGGGTTCCATGTGACTGACTGACCTACCTGTGTTTCCGGAGGGGATTCCATGTGACTGACTGACCTACGTGTGTTTCCAGAGGTGGGTTCCGTGTGACTGACAGACCTACCTGTGTTTCCGGAGGGGGATTCCATGTGACTGACTGACCTACGTGTGTTTCCAGAGGTGGGTTCGTTGTGACTGTCTGACCTACCTGTGTTTCCGTAGGTGGATTCCATGTGACTGTCTGACCTACCTGTGTTTCCGGAGGTGGGTTCGATGTGACTGTCTGACCTACCTGTGTTTCCGGAGGTGGGTTCCATGTGACTGTCTGACCTACCTGTGTTTCCGGAGAGGGATTCCATGTGACTGACTGACCTACCTGTGTTTCCAGAGGTGGGTTCCGTGTGACTGACAGACCTACCTGTGTTTCCGGAGGGGGATTCCATGTGACTGACTGACCTACGTGTGTTTCCAGAGGTGGGTTCGTTGTGACTGTCTGACCTACCTGTGTTTCCGTAGGTGGATTCCATGTGACTGTCTGACCTACCTGTGTTTCCGGAGGTGGGTTCGATGTGACTGTCTGACCTACCTGTGTTTCCGGAGGTGGGTTCCATGTGACTGTCTGACCTACCTGTGTTTCCGGAGGTGGGTTCCATGTGACTGTCTGACCTACCTGTGTTTCCGGAGGGGGGTTCGTTGTGACTGTCTGACCTACCTGTGTTTCCAGAGGTGGGTTCCGTGTGACTGTCTGACCTACCTGTGTTTCGGGAGAGGGATTCCGTGTGACTGTCTGACCTACCTGTGTTTCCGGAGGGGGGTTCGTTGTGACTGTCTGACCTACCTGTGTTTCCGTAGGTGGATTCCATGTGACTGTCTGACCTACCTGTGTTTCCGGAGGTGGGTTCGATGTGACTGTCTGACCTACCTGTGTTTCCGGAGGTGGGTTCGATGTGACTGTCTGACCTACCTGTGTTTCCGGAGGTGGGTTCCATGTGACTGTCTGACCTACCTGTGTTTCCGGAGGGGGGTTCGTTGTGACTGTCTGACCTACCTGTGTTTCCAGAGGTGGGTTCCGTGTGACTGACAGACCTACCTGTGTTTCCGGAGGGGGATTCCATGTGACTGACTGACCTACGTGTGTTTCCAGAGGTGGGTTCGTTGTGACTGTCTGACCTACCTGTGTTTCCGTAGGTGGATTCCATGTGACTGTCTGACCTACCTGTGTTTCCGGAGGTGGGTTCGATGTGACTGTCTGACCTACCTGTGTTTCCGGAGGTGGGTTCCATGTGACTGTCTGACCTACCTGTGTTTCCGGAGAGGGATTCCATGTGACTGACTGACCTACCTGTGTTTCCGGAGGTGGATTCCATGTGACTGTCTGACCTACCTGTGTTTCCGGAGATGGGTACCATGTGACTATCTGACCTACCTGTGTTTCCGGAGGTGGATTCCATGTGACTGTCTGACCTACCTGTGTTTCCGGAGGGGGATTCCATGTGACTGTCTGACCTACCTGTGTTTCCGGAGGTGGATTCTACATGACTGTCTGACCTACCTGTGCTTCCGGAGGTGGGTTCCATGTGACTGTCTGACCTACCTGTGTTTCCGGAGGGGGGATTCCATGTGACTGTCTGACCTACCTGTGTTTCCGGAGGTGGATTCCATGTGACTGTCTGACCTACCTGTGTTTCCGGAGGTGGATTCTACATGACTGTCTGACCTACCTGTGTTTCCGGAGGTGGGTACCATGTGACTGACTGACCTACCTGTGTTTCCGGAGGGGGATTCCATGTGACTGTCTGACCTACCTGTGTTTCCGGAGATGGATTCTACATGACTGTCTGACCTACCTGTGCTTCCGGAGGTGGGTTCCATGTGACTGTCTGACCTACCTGTGTTTCCGGAGGGGGATTCCATGTGACTGTCTGACCTACCTGTGTTTCCGGAGGTGGATTCCATGCGACTGTCTGACCTACCTGTGTTTCCGGAGGTGGATTCTACATGACTGTCTGACCTACCTGTGTTTCCGGAGGTGGATTCCGTGTGACTGACTGACCTACCTGTGTTTCCGGAGGGGGGTTCGATGTGACTGACTGACCTACCTGTGTTTCCGGAGGTGGGTTCAGTGTGACTGACTGACCTACCTGTGTTTCGGGAGAGGGATTCCGTGTGACTGTCTGACCTACCTGTGTTTCCGGAGGTGGGTTCGATGTGACTGACTGACCTACCAGAGGTGGATTCTATTTGACTGTCTGACCTACCTGTGTTTCCGGAGGTGGGTTCCATGTGACTGTCTGACCTACCAGAGGTGGATTCTACGTGACTGTCTGACCTACCTGTGTTTCCGGAGGTGGGTTCGATGAGGACATCTCCAGGTTTCAGATGTCCCTTCTCCTCGGCATCCAAGATCATCCGCAGACCGATCCTGTCCTTTACACTCCCGCCAGCGTTGAAGAACTCACACTTGACCACTGCACACAAAATATACATTCAAACACCATGTGACAGGGATCGAGGACTATTTACTGTATATTGTGATTTTTCAGAATTATTCATTATTTATGTATTAGACTAAACTAAATAACAGTCTGTGTTCTCAGGCACCACCCGCATCAGCATAAAGTTCGCCGCATGTTTCATTTTTATTTCAATTTTAAAAAATAAATAAAAAAATCCAAGTCCAATGTTAGTCAAGTACTGTAGTCCAGTATTTTACTCAAGGAATATACATTTATGTAGGGAGGCCGTTTCCCAGGCTGATTGTACACAACTGTGTATTTGGTTACATACTGGTTTGAACAACAACAACAACAACAACAAAAAAAGGCACCGCCTGCCTGCACTATATTTTCAAAAACCTTTTTTCAAGCCTAACAGTATTGTCATATGTATTGCCATATATTTGGAGCTGAAGTGTTTGGCAGTGATTGACATCCAGATTCTAACACGACAATGTCAAAGACAGGATGGTCAGTCGCCGCCATTTTGTAGTCACGGATAGAGTAGAGATAACACCACTTTCAATTAATTTGAGGAGGCACGGGTGGCCCAGTCGTCCAAGGCGCCCAATTCGCTGTGCAGAGTTGCGTCCCTTGGGCACGCCAGGAACCTATGATTGTGGGTTCGAATCCCAGTTCGCTCTGATTATGTTTCTAGGTTTGTCAGCACCACTACCGTGCGCGTAGGTTTCACTGAAGTGGTAAACATCCGAGACCTGCATCACTTCGGGCTTACCTCCCACATCAAGCTGACATGCCACTATATTACTGTAATACTGTTAAAAGCGACGTTAAACCCAACACACTCACTCAATAACTTTGAGGGTAAACATCACTTGTGAATGAATTTCTGTCTAGATTTTAGGTCAAACAAAACACATAATAACAAAACTTGTTATATATACGTTTCACTCAACACACCGGAACCAATTTTTTTATTGAAATACGAATCGTTTGTAAAGCGTATTGCAGTATACTGGCATAATGGTAAAACCTAATAACTACCAAAATAACATGAATTGGGAATTGGCTTATTCCATTTTGAGATTTTTTACTGACATTTGCTGCGGACTTGGGGTCAACTATCTATCTCTGTGATCCTGAAATATTTTTTTGCCAAACGGACATTTGCATTTTGGTCACGCCCACCTCATATCTGAGGTGATGGATGTATGAACAATTAGAGTGAGTGAGTGTGTGAGTTTGGCTTAACGCCGCTTTTAACAGTATTCCAGTCATATCGTGGCGTGTCAGCTTAATGTGGGAGGAAAGCCTGAAGTGATGCAGGTTTTTAGACGTTTACCACTTCGGTGAAACCCACGAGCACGGGTATGGTGCTGACAAACCTAGAAACATAATTGGGGCGAACCGGGATTCGAACCCACAATCATAGGTTTCTGGCGTGTCCAAGGGACGCAACTCTGCACAGCGAATCGCGGCGCCTTAGACGACTGGGCCACCCGTGCCCCCTGAACAATTAGAATAAATTCAAGCGTCACTTTCAAGGCATATAGTGTTCCCTCGCTATTCTGCCCTTCAATAACTCGGTTACAACGCATGGTTACAATTGGCTCCCAAAATTTATATACATTTTTTATAAACTCAAGGTTTTCACTGACACGATGTTTTTCCCAAAAAAATCATCATCAGCTGATCACCACGAGCACGTAACACCGGAAATACCAGTCAACAAATCCGAACTGAAATACGCAATCCAATTATCATGCTATTTGGTTATAAAATTGTGTTCATTGTATATCTGGACTTGTGTTTGTAATATATTTTATCCATTTTATTCAAAATTGGTATCTGACAGAAATACTTGGTTTCTTGGTTTACAGATTTTAGTGTGAAAAATCTTGGTTGGGAAATAAATGAAAAATTTCAATGATATTTATTTCAAAGTAACTTGGATTTCTTGCCCTGCATGCATTCTTTATGAAGTTCATCTTGACGGTATTTCAGTTTCAGTGTCAGTTGTCAGAATGAAAAAGGTATAGCCAGAGCTCCAGATAAGCTGCGTATCTGGTAAAATACGCCTCAAAAATCCAGAAATATGCAGTAAAATAAAATCCAAGCGTGTCAAATACGCAACAAACATTACAGATACGCTACAAAAATAAAACTTGTGCGTATCATCAAAATATTGTGAAGTAACCCTGCGTATTCGATTAGCAAATCAGCAACTTATTTTGAAATTATAAACGGGCATTCCGTCAACCTTGCCAAACTCCACGATGAGTTACATCATGATCATTTGCCATCACACTTTCTTGTGGAAGTATCGTGGTATTTTCAAGTCCTATAAAGCTCTCGAACCCACACGACACCAGTTTGCAGGGACTAGATGAATAGTGTTTTTAAATATTTAACTTAAATACCCACATGTGTAAAAACTAGTGGGTAACAGAAATTTGAATACCCAGATAGAATTACTGATACCCAATGATTTTTAAATGCATGGGTAAAATACCCATAACACCAAAAGCTGATCTGGATTCTGTATTGCCTATCAATTACTACTGTCAACCTCTCATTCGGGGGGTTATCTGGCAAGGTTGTCAGTGTTGAGGTGAGGTGAGGTGAAATGGTGTTTAACGTCGCGTCCAAGATTATTGCACTTATGTAGCGACGTGCATGTACGTGTATGTGTGTGTGGCTGCTTGTACTAGTCCGGACTGATGCCGATTTAGAGTGCTAGCTCACTGAGATACCATGCCGCAGTTTAACATGAATATCCCACTCAGACACAGTATACTGACTCCGAGCCAACCAGTCCTTGTTTTAGCCCCTTAATGCCGAGCGCCAGACAGGGAAACAACAAGTACCATCTTTTAACGTCTTTTGGTATGACGCAGCCGGGGATCGAACCCCGAACCTTCCGCTCTCCGGGCGGATGCTCTACCACTAGACCACAGGGGCGGTTGTCAGTGTTGAAGTGTATTGTAGACGTCACTCACGGAGTTGACACTTGATGTTGTCCTTCTTGGTGATGCGGTTGACCTTGACGAGCGGTGTCTGTCCGATGTTATCCAGGATTGTCTCCATGATCTTGGGCTTCTCAACGCTGAAACAATCACCGATTCTTTTACACCGCAGTGGGGGATTTATTGAAAGATGTAAAATGGTTGGGAAAATTTTGAATGAGAATAAATAATATAGATATTTTGATATCTGTATCATGTGTAACAAGGAATGAAATAGATGAGGGCTGGTCAAAATGTTCTAAGCCTGACTAACTTTCAACTATGGGCCATAGCAAAGTGAACTGGTTAATGCAGTACATTGTTTGAGTAGTCCATTGCAAGTGTATCTGGTCTGTTGAGGCCACTGTTTGGCGGCACTGTATGCCATCCTATTTATACAACGGAATACTTCATGAACTTGAAACGAGACACTGTATGGCATCCCGTCCTATTTATACAACGGAATACTTCATGAACTTGAAACGAGACACTGTATGGCATGCCATCCTATTTATACAATGGAATACTTCATGAACTTGAAACGAGACACTGTATGGCATGCCATCCTATTTATACAACGGAATACTTCATGAACTTGAAACGAGACACTGTATGGCATGCCATCCTATTTATACAACGGAATACTTCATGAACTTGAAACGAGACACTGTATGGCATGCCATCCTATTTATACAACGGAATACTTCATGAACTTGAAACAAGACACTGTATGGCATGCCATCCTATTTATACAATGGAATACTTCATGAACTTGAAACGAGACACTGTATGGCATGCCATCCTATTTATACAATGGAATACTTCATGAACTTGAAACGAGAAACTGTATGGCATGCCATCCTATTTATAAAACGGAATACTTCATGAACTTGAAACAAGACACTGTATGGCATGCCATCCTATTTATACAATGGAATACTTCATGAACTTGAAACGAGAAACTGTATGGCATGCCATCCTATTTATAAAACGGAATACTTCATGAACTTGAAACAAGACACTGTATGGCATGCCATGCTATTTATACAATGGAATACTTCACGAACTTGAAACGAGACACTGTATGGCATGCAGTGGTGATATGAATGTCTGGTATCGAGATACGCATCGTATCGTGACCAGAATATCGAGATAAGTATCGTATCGTGACCTTCCTGTATCCAATTTATACAATGGAATACTTAATGAACTTGAAACTTGAAATTACAGCCGCTGGAAATTCAGTGGTGGCTAGGGATGAAACCAGAGACATTTGCAGTAAATTTGGATAAGAACGAATAACCGACTCGAAACATGGAATTATGGGAATTAATTAGGGATGGGTATTGGATGTTTAAAGGGTATCCCAATATTTTACAATGAACAATCCCAATTAGCAGCCCCCCCTATATGCACCCTTAATTATGGGCAATTAAATTCATGAAAAATATATCTCTCGTACATAAACATTTCAGGCTGTCAGCATAAACCACGAAATGTATCTCTAGTTTTTTCACCAAAATAATATTCTAATAAGAGCCCCCTATTTTTAATTTTGAGAGCGCCCTGGGGGCATATTACATCGAATGCGGTAATTCAAAATTTTGAATTCAGGAGCAAATTGTCCATAAGTCCATAAATGGACAAAAGAAGATGCTGGAACAGCATAATGTTTACTCATTAAATAACTAGGCAAGGATGCACGCTACAGGACAGCGATGACTTGGTGTTACACCACTGCATTTTGGTATTACGGAAACATTTCGAAGGTACATGTTTTTAGCAAGAGTATTCGATAAACATGTGATAAAAACTGTGATTTGAAATCACTGATACACCAGGCATTAAAACATGATATTGTGATACGCATCCTGGAAAGAATGAACCTCGATTTACTGATAAACCGGTAATACCGAGCAGCCTTAGAATTAGTGAGTGAGTGAGTGAGTTGGGTGTAAGGCCGCTTTTAACAGTATTCCAGTTATATCGCAGCGTGTCAGCTTAATGTGGGAGGAAAGCCCGAAGTGATGCAGGTCTCAGACGTTTACCACTTCGGTGAAACCCACGAGCACAGGTATGGTGCTGACAAACCTAGAAACATAATTGGGGCGAACCGGGATTCGAACCCACAATCATAGGTTTCTGGCGTGCCCAAGGGACGCAACACTGCACAGCGAATTGCGGCGCCTTAGACGACTGGGCCACCCGTGCCCCCTCCTTAGAATTAATGTCATCTTGTAGCTTGACAGTCATTATCGGAGCAAGCCTCACCATTTGCGATGCATGTGAGGGGAGTCTTTGCTTGAGCCATAGGTGCACTTGCTGGGCAAGTCTGGACGCCTCCAGCACCGGTATGGACTTGCTACTAGGCCGTTGTCTGTCATTGTATCAGGGTCCTGAAAGAAAACAATGTGTATATTAGTTATTAGTTAACGAAACAACTAAAACAAGAAAGGAGTTCAAGTATTAGCGCAATACTGGGCTGAGTTAAGACACAAAATCCTGAGGGGGCAAAAGGTATCACAATAGTTAGGTCGTGATCTATATACTCAAAACAAGTTTGTTTTTTGTTGTTTTGTAGTTTAACGCCGCACTCAGCAATATTCCAGCTATATAACATCAATCTGTAAGTCTAAACCAGACAATCCAGTGATCAATATCATGAGCATCTATCCACCCAATGGCAAACACTGGTACACTAATCCGCCAGGTGGCACGTCGGAATTTCCGTCCCGGAAGTGTTGCTAATGAAAACATGTTGCGCTACAGACAGAAGCTGAAGACAGAGTTGCGATGATGTGGAGCAACTACACGCGGGAAGAAGATCGATTTGATCGAAAGGTATGTAGTTGTTCAAGAGACTTGCCAATACTGTGTCAGTTTGCTTTGAATCTTGGAACAGTCTTTGTTTTGTTCCACTACGACTCGAGATTACCGCGGGAAATTCGAACTGAATGAAAATTGTTGTTATCGATAAACGATTTGGTTGGTTTGGTTTGTTGTTTAACACCGCACTCAGCAATATTCCAGCTATATTTAATGAGATTGGATACAGTTATCTCAAACGTGTGTAAGAAGATAAATCCTAGAACACTGCATGTACCTGCAACAAATTTCATCCCAGTCTTGGCTATTGGTACTACACTGAGCTGAGGACAAGACGTCTTTCGGGTAAGAATAGAAGCTGTAGACCTACTACCTGTCATCTAAGTCCAGTGTTTCCAACATTCATAAACGTTCCAACTAAGGCTGGGACTGGTAACTCGGGTACCTGGGTCGGGTGGGTCCTGAGTAGGACCCGGGTACCCACAGGACTACCTGGACCCGTGGTTAGTCACGTGATACATTGTTTAATGACAAAAATTACCTAGAACTCTATGGTACAAGTCACTAATGTTCGCATTTCTTTCTGACTATGCACCCATTCCTTCTGACTTTTCAGATGGTTGAATAAAGATATAACTTAAGTCAACTTCAGTGTATACATGACCAGATTGTTTAATACATGTATCTAAATACGTTTTGCAAGTGCTGTGGTAAAACAATTCCCAATCGGACATTTTGTATCTCCTGAGACCTACAGCGGGTACCCTGGTAGGGTCGGGTATTAGGGGGGTGGGTACCCGGGTAGTAAATTTGGACTCGTCCCAGCCCTAGTTACAATAAGACTGCTGGAACATGGAGGACACCTACAGCGTATAAAGACTCCTTGCGAGGAAATACTGTTGACAACAACCAAATGTTCGCGGTCAGGAATGTGTACATTAAAAAAAGGCTGTACAATGAGATTATTTTTGCAGTTTCAAACTGATAAAGACTTGACCTGACAAATCTGTGAGAGGTTAGAGCGGTGTCTTGGCAATGTACCTCCTTTCCCATTGTGTCTACAGTAAAATCATGTCAAGATTCGGTCTAATGGTCAGAAAGTCATGCATGAGTGAACACGACTGTGACCTGTTTAACTGGGATGCGAGATAAACTTGTCCATACTCGGCTTGAGATCTGGCTTGTTTGAACAACAATGAATTAAAATGAAAATTGATTTGATCTCTGAAAGAAAATAAAGTTTATATAGTAATATGTATATATATCTCTACTCAGCTTACGATCTGGTTTGTTAATCAACAATGAATTAAAACGTAAATTGTATTGATCTTAAATAAAGTTCATTGATGTGATTAGCTCTATATTATTTTGTTGTTGCTTACGGGTCATTAGACCGCCTCCGCCGTCTAGTGGTAGAGAGTCCGCCCTGAGAGCGGAAGGCCCGGTGTTCGATCCCCGGCCGCGACATACCAATAGACGTTAAAAGATGGTACTTGTTGTTACCCTGTCTGGCGCTCGGCATTAAGGGGCAGAAACAAGGACTGGTCGGCTCGGAGTCAGTATACTGTGTCTTAGTGGGGTATTCATGTTAAACTGCGGCATGGTATCTCAGTGAGCTAGCACTATAAATCTGCATCAGTCCGGACTAGTACAAGCAGCCACACACACGCACGTGCATGCACGTCGCTATATATAAGTCTTATAATCTTGGACGTGACATCAAACCCAATTTCACCTCACCTTATGGGTTATTATCAAAATTGTACCCTTTTCATCCTGCTAGATAAACAAAATTAAAACTTGAAAATTCCAACTTTTAGTTATTTAACAAGAAACAACTAAACTTCACAAATAGTTGGGTAAATTATGCTAACACAAAGAAACATAATTTTAAAACTACTAAATTTAATTAATTTGCAAAAACTAATATTTTACCTCTGCCTAGAAAAGGAAAAGAATCTCATTTGGTTCATCGCTCTTTGTGAAAAATAGGAACAAATACCGTATTCTACATAATAAGCACCCAGGGAGCTCTCAAAATTAGAAATAGGGGGCTATTATTAGAATATTATTTTGGTGAAAAAAAAACAGAGTTGAAAGATCGATAATTTCGTGGTTTATGCTGACAGCCTGAAATGTTTATATACGACAGATATATTTTTCCAGAATTTAATTGCCTATAATTAAGAATGCACTCGTGTGTTATATGCATCCTTAATTATGGGCAATTATATTCTGGATAAATATATCTGTCGTGTATAATACACACAGACTTTTATTTGGTATGATTTCAGGCCTTAACCACTAGGCGAGCCTGGCCACACGTTCCCTTTAGTCGCCTCTTACAACAAACATAGTCGCCTTTTACGGCAAGCATGGGTTGCTGAAGACCTATTCTACCCAGGATCTTCACAGGTTCACAGAATAGAGTTGTATGGAAAATATATCCTCACATTGTGACGTGAAATTGTTAGCTGGTAGTACCCCATGCTCGTAAGAGAGAGAGACAACAATGAGAATCAGTAGGCCAAAATGGGTGTCCTTGCTGACTGTTGGTCATTGTGTTGATAGTTGAGTGGGACTAAAACCATGACAACTGCAACATCAAACATTCACTCAAACAACATAAGTTGACACTCAGGGTCGGTTTTAGAGTGAGTGAGTATGGTTTTACGCCACTTTTAGCAATATTCCAGCAATATCACGGCGGGGGACACCAGAAATGGGCTTCACACATTGTACACATGTCGGGATTCGAACCCGGGTCTTTGGCGTGACGCGCGAACGCTTTAACCACTAGGCTACCCGACCGCCCCGGTCGGTTTTAGAAGAGGCTGAAGTTTTGTTTGTTTGTTGTTTAGTGTAACGCCTCACTCAGCAATATTCAAGCTATATGACGGGGGTCTGTAAATAATCGAGTCTGGACGAGACAATCCAGTGATTGACATGATGAGCATTGATCCACGCATTTGGGATATGATGGCATGCATCAACCGAGTCAGCGAGCCTGACCACCCGATCCCGCTACTGATAACTGCAAGTCTTAGGGCAGGGACGAGTCCACATTTACTACATGGGTACCCGACCCCCTATTAACTGACCCTGCCAAATCAAATATATAAAACTCAGAATGAATGAGAAGGAATGCGTGCATTGTCACTCAGAATAGAAAAGCTACCTTAAGTGAGTGAGTATGGTTAAAGCCGCTTTTCGCAATACTCCAGTAATATCACGGAGGGGGCCGGGAATTGGGCTTCATACATTGTACCCATGTCGGGAATCGAACCCGGGTCTCCGGCGTGACGAGTCAATGCCTTAACCACTAGGCTACCCGACCGCCCCAGGACCATTAGTGACTAGTTGTGTAACCATGCAGTCATGGAAATTTTGTCATTAAAACAATATATCACGCGACTAACCACATGTCTGGGTAGTCCTGTGGGTAGCCGGGTCTTACTCAGTACCCACCTGACCCGAGTTAGCCATCCCAGCCCTAGTGTTTGTTTCCATGGTTTCAGTAGAGGTTGAAGACTGATCTCTGTGCAAGCACACGACACAGTACTCACAGCTTTCTAAACTAGGGCACACATATAGCTCAGTTGGAGGCTCCAATCCTCTGTGCAGAGTTACGTCCCTTAGTTGTAGTAGGATCTGCTTTGTGATCGGTTGCAATACAAATACTGCCTTATTATTATCCTTGACAACTGGATGCCATAATTCTCTGTGCAGAGTTACGTCCCTTAGTTGTGGTAGGATCTGCTTAGTGATCAGTTGCAATACCAGTAACGCCTGATTATTATCCAGTATGCATAGAATGGATGCAGAGAAAAAATATATTGCATCCCACGAGAAGCACGATAATATTCATTCTACGATATTCTTGACAAAAAATATATATATCAAATCTAACAGAACAGTAGACTACGTCATTTCATTACTTTACAGGGTGCAATTATAGAATCCAAAAGCATCATAAAAAGAAGGAATATATGAAGTTAATTACATACACAGGTACATAATACGTATCTGTGTATTGTATACAATACGTATATTTACAATCCTTAGGGTTAGTAAGGGCAGGTTGTCAATAAGGCTGGGACGGGTAGCTCGGGTACTCGGGTCGGGTGGGTATTGAGTAGGACCCGGGTACCCACAGGACCACCCGGACCCGTGGCTAGTCACGTGATATATTGTTTCATGACAAAAATTCACTATAACTACATCGTTACCCAACAACTTTAAGTCTCTAATATTCGCTTTTCTTCATGACTATGAACGCATTCCTTCTGACTTATATATGTTTGAACAAAGCTAAAACTTCACTCAACTTCAGTGTATGCATGACCACATTATTTTATAGGTGTGTCTATATACATTTTGCCAGGGCTACTGTCAAACTATTCCCAATCGGACATTTTGTACCTATCTCTTGACACCAAAAGCGGTTGGTTACCCGGGTAGGGTTGGGTCGGGTAACAGGGATTTGGGTACCCGGGTAGTAAACTTGGACTCGTCCCTGCCTAAGTTACCAAAAACTCTATCCTTACTCCCGGATCCTTGAAAGAAAAAAGTGGTGAACATATTCTATAGTGTCCCTTCATAGGACCCATATATTTCCTGTAATACCCCTTAAAAATAATTTTTGAGTCTCGAGAAAACTCACTTTGTAAATAAGACTTTGAGCCTTTAAAGGGCAAGTGTACACGCAAAAATCACTTTTTATCTTTTCCTAAACAAAACGCAATTTTAGAATTAATTAGTATCTGTGTTTGAAAATATACACTCATTTTTTTCACAGTGAAAGTAGGAAGCTCACAATAGTGTGAAATTGATATGCCGTTATGAGGCCTTCGTTTTTCGAGCTAAACAGGCCTGAGTTATCCCCCTTAGATTATGACGTAATTGGTGCCAATTCAAATGGGTCCCTGTCTATTCTCAACGCAAAAGATATCAAGTACCAGTTTGCGGTAAAACAACATGGCCTACGACACATTCCGGCGCAGTGGTGACTCAGCATAACACTATGCTGGCTGGCATCTGAGACGCTAGAATCACACACCTGTACCTACACCACGTGAAGCGGCTCTAACAAAGCATGATGATGTCATAATGTTTATCAATTGGCACCAATGACGTCATATTGCAAGGGGCATAACCCATGGTGTTTTTGTTGTGGAAATAGAACACTTGGTAAATGTGAAAAATATAAATCGTTTTAATGCGAAAAATATGTTAATTAATTGTGATATTTTTATATTTTTGTCTATGACACTTCTAGGTTAACACTTTTAATGTGGAAAAAGTACAAGAAAAATAGGTTCATTTCCCTGTGAACTTGCCCTTTAAGTCTGTGTTCAACGAGAGATCTAAATGCATCGATCTGTATACAGTGTTGGTACGTCATTCATCTAAGATAACTTGTAAAAACACTGACAATATACTAGGGCTGGGGCGGGTAACTCTGGTACTCGGTCAGGTGGGTCCTGAGTAGGACAGGGGTACCCACAGTACTACCCGGACCCGTGGTTAGTCACGTGATATATTGTTAATGACAAAAACTCATTGGAGCTCAGTGGTTACACTACAAGTCGCTAATGTTCCCATTTCTTTATGATGATGCACACATTCCTTTTGACTTGTATATGTTTGAGTAAAGATGAAGCTTCAGTCAACTTCTGTGTACCCATCATTTTATCGTTTCATAAGAGACCATATACCTATTATATGGTCTCTGGTTTCATACATGTATCTAAAGAGCTTTTGCAAGGGCTACGGTTAAACTATTCCCAGTTAGACATTGTGTTCCCAACGCTTGAGACCTACAGTGGGTACCCGGGTAGGGTCCGGTAATAGGGGGTTGGGTACCCGGGTAGTAAATTTGGATTCGTCCCAGCCCTACAATATAACGAGATATTCAACGAGAGGTCTACATGCTCTAAATGCATCGATCTGTATACAGTGTTGGTACGTCTTTCATCTAAGATAACTTGTAAAAACACTGACAATATACACATCATAATATGGTTCCGGGAGAAATTAATTTCTACTCGTGTCAGTGTTGATCTAACTACCAGAAACTCATAGTAGAATGTGTACTTGTTCTGTGACTAGACCGAACGATCTTGCATTGCGTCATCTGTTTATCAATGAGTGCAGACGCCATGGAAGTCGAATGAAATATCAATTGACAATCAATGATTGTTAGTGAGAAAGGCAGGAATAAAATCATGTCATCGAATGACATCGATGTGTAACGCTTTCTTGGGTGATTCAGCACAATCTACATGCGTGCAGTACTCACTTGTCGGATTGTCGGGGCAACTTTCACCGTCAACAGACAACGAGTAAAGGACGCGTCACTCTTTGGTGGCTGAACAAAATAGCAAACATGGACACTCCTCCACAGAGGCGCTATCTGATTGGCTGACCTGGAAGATCCTATTTTTAAAGGTAGGGGTGATAGGTCAAGGTCGCTTTGTAATCATCGCGACATCAGTAAATATTAACTTGTTTTGTGAATTATATGATGAATTCCGATGCCTAAGCTTTATTGGTGATGTAAACAAAGTTGACAACCGGTGATAGAGTCACACTGATGTATTTAAACCCGTAAGACGTACACTGCCTGGGCCAGTCTATTACGAGTTCCGAACTAGCCGTCGCAACAGGAATTTGAAGCTTTTAAAGGGGCACGGACATAACAGCAGTTCCCCAGGACTGGCTGTTGCCTTTGTTATTGTTTATACCTGTGAGTACCCGGATGACATAGCACAAATCTAGACTAGTTCGCGACCTGTGCTGCGCCATTTTGTTTGTCACTTTTATTGATAGTGTTAGGGCGTATGGTCACATTGATCAACAAAATGAAATAATATTGGAAATAATAAGGACATGTAGGTATCTTTGTGGGTAGCATCGGTAATGGTGACGAAGTAACTTGCTTGGTAATTGTTCGATTTTCGTTTACACTATTTTGACCGCAACACAAAGTAAATATTTCACCTGGGTATTGCTTATTAATTTTATCTTGTGTATGTCTTTACATTACATTTTCACTTAGGAAATTTCTTTAACGCCCAAATATTCAGTTATTTTACAATTTGACTGAAAAATATGTCCATCTGTATTATTATGATAACGAATTCCAAACATGTTTATGTTTAATATCATCACCAAGTGACTGAAAATGTTAGGATAAAAAGTACATTTCTATATTGTTTGGGTTCCTATCCTAGCATAATTAATCTATTGTGATGTTTTTAAGCCATTTTGAAAGTCTTAAACATTTTTCGTCAATCTGTTAAATAGATGGACAGATTTTTCAGTCATTTTGTAAAATGACTGAAATATTTAGACATTTTATAAATTGCCTGAGAGAATCACATTTTACACATTGACTGTAATATACTGAACCAAATTAAAACTTCACAATCCTAAAATTGTAACATTTTGACCAGTTATCATAGTGGGCCCTTATTGTATTTTTAAACAGTAATTGCCACGTATTGTCTTCAGATAACACCCGTTTTTGTGCAGGTGAATCGATCAAAATCAAGTGCACAGCACTATAGTGGCAAAAGTGTTTGTTCACGTGCAACTAGTCACGTGGCAATAATACCGCACGTGTTTTCAGCCATACTTGTTAGCAGTCATTAATACGAAAAAAGAAAAACACAAGAAAACAAAAGTCTTTACGGCCATTTGTCATGCCACGCCTTTCAAATGTGCAACGTGAACGTGCCATCGGCATGTTGCAGACGGGAACGTCCGTAGCTGTAGTCGCAAGGACGATGGGTTGTAGTCGACGGACTGTTTATGATTTACAGACGCGTCTACAGCAAACGGGTACCACCGTTGATCGCCCTCGGCCAGGTCGACCACGTGTGACTTCACATGCAGAGGATCGTCAGATTGTCTTACGTCACATCCGTAACCGATTTTTGACGGCTACATCAACCAGAAATGAACTGTTTAGGGGTAGACTGAGTGCGCAAACTGTTCGAAACCGTCTGAGAACTGCTCACCTTCAAGCACGACGGCCATACTGCGGGCCGATTCTGACTCAATTACACAGACGTCAACGTCAATTGTGGGCACAGCGACACTTACGATGGAATTAGAGGAATTGGAATCAAGTAGTCTTCAGTGATGAATCCCGATTAAATCTTCGATTTGCTGATGGTATGGCGATGGTGTGGGGACGCCGTCATGAACGTTACGCCCAGTGTTGTGTACCGGAAGTTGACAGATTTCGAGGCGGAAGTGTCATGGTGTGGGGTGCTTTCTGTTGCAATGCACGTTCCAGGCTTCTTGTCATCCGTGGCAACCTCAACGCTGCTGCTTACCGCGACCAGGTACTGGCACCAGAACTTCTGCCTTTTATGGCAGCACATGGACCCGGTTTGATCTTCCATCACGACAATGCCAGACCCCACACAGCAATTTTGACATGGAATTTCCTTCAGAATGCGGGAGTCAACGTCGTGGACTGGCCGCCAAGGTCTCCCGACCTCAATCCCATCGAACACGTCCTTCGATGCTATTGGCAGAAGTCTGCGCACTTTCCAGAACCAACCACAGAATTTGTAAGATCTTGGCACCATTTTGCAGCAACAATGGCGTCGTCTTTCCGATCATGTGTTCACAAGCATCACAAGGTCTATGCGGAGGCGTTGTGTAGGGTTACACCAGAAATAATGGATGACAACAAGGGAGTAGTAATCGTTTTATCCACGCAATCCGAAATCCGAAAACGCTTTCACCGCAGAAATATTTTATTATTATTATTAAACTACAACCATCAGGGGTATTTCCAAATAACGGACCCGTGAAGATCCCTGAGTAGAATAGGTCTTCAGCAACCCATGCCTGCAGTATAAGGTGACTATGCTTGTCGTACAAGGCGACTAACGGGATCGGCTGGTCAGACTCTCTGACTTGGTTGATGAATGTCATCGATCCCAGTTGCGTGGATCGATGCTCATGATATTAATCACTGGATTGTCTGGTCCAGACTCGAGTATTTACAGACTGCCGTCATATAGATGGAATATTGCTGAGTGCGGCGTTAAACAACTAACCAACCAACCAAATCCAAATAACGACATCCGATGAGCTTCCGCCGTTCTTTTTGTCTATTTGTTGAGGCTGAAGAAATTAATTAACATGCGCCCTTAGTCGAAATCTTCATATATCACGGGTTACCAATCAGTGTTAAAAAATGCGCAAAACAAATATTGCCTCCAAGTTTATTTAGCTGTCCTTGCAGACGGTAGCCGAGTCTCTTGTCACGCTCAGTTGCGCCAGCGAGCAAATCGACTCACGGCAACTAGTGAGCCCCAGCGGCCAGTGTCAGACAGCCGAGAAGAAGCCAGAGAGTGTTTGAAACCAGTTACTGCAGTAGGCCTATATCTATTTAAATAGATAATTTGGTTTTTGATTTGTTTTGACAACCATTCATAGAAAATGCATTACAACTTTGCCTGGAAACTATTTGTCATCCATTATAAGGCCAGATTAAAAAAAAAAAAAAGTGTCCCCTTTTAACTTTGAATATCTCGGCGTTCTGATTTAACCACGTGTGGCGGCTGATAGAAAACTGCTAGTGTTCGTTTTCCAAACCCTGAACGACACAAGTGAACTTAAGTGCTGGCCAAACTACAAACTACAACCAAGATTAACCTTGGTAGACCAATGTTAGCGCCCATAAACCGATTACGTCATGCTTCGGTGGATCTAAGTTAAGCCATACCTCGTGGGCGCATGCGTACGATTCGCAGCCATTAAATGCAGTTCCATATCTTAAAAACTAATTCGTTTCATTAATTGATTTAGCCATGAACAAAAGCTTTTCAATGAATATAATTAACTAGGTATTGATATAAATACTTTAGAATCAATCATATGTCTTTGTTTCTTGTTTAACGCCGCACTCAGCAATATTCCAGCTATATGACGGCGGTCTGCAAAAAATCGAGTCTGGACCAGACAATCCAGTGATTGATATCATGAGCATGAATCCACGCAATTGGGATCGATGACATGCATCAAACCAACCAAGTCAGCGAGCCTGACCACCCGATCCCATTAGACGCCTCTTATGACAAGCATAGTCGCCTTTTACGGCAAGCATGGGTTGCTGAAGACATATTCTACCCCGGAATCTTCACCTAAGAATTGGGCGGTCGGGTAGCCTAGTGGTTAAAGCGTTGGCTCGTCACGCCGAAGACCCGGGTTCGATTCCCGACATGGGTACAATGTGTGAAGCCCATTTCTGGTGTCCCCCGCCGTGATATTGCTGGAATATTGCTAAAAGCGGCGTAAAACCATACTCACTCACTCACTCACTCTACAATGACATGTAAGAATATTCATCTGTGGTCCGCACACTCTATCGAATCAACAGTAAATATAGAATACTAAACGAGCTCGCGTGTAATACAACAACTATTCACTCGCTTCATAAAATTGGTTTTTACACGGGAGCGAGTTTAGCATTTTATTTATTACTTGCCATTTATAACGTTTTTTTTATTATACTTTTGAGTATGAATAGGCTGACACCTACACGATCCACGGCATAGTCCAATTGAGTTTAAAAGAATAATACTTCAAACACGTCAACAGTTGAAACGTATGAATTTAATACAACGGTCCACCTTTAGAATTCCCAAAATTATCGTGGGGCTAAGACTATCGCAACTCACATACTTTACTTAGACTAACGACTGTCGTTGCGCTACAGTACGATCGCCTTGCGAAACAGGCCTTGCAACTCCAAGTTTACAATAACGTCACAATACCCGATGACGTAATTTGTGGAATATTGTTGCAAGGTCCATCGGCGAAACAATGCCATGCGACGTCAGCCTAGCAACAAGGTTGCTCGGGTCATCGAGTGTGCACAAGCTCCTCTCAGTGATCTATCAACTCCACACGCAATGTCGTTGAAAAGGGGATGTAACAGATGTTATATTTGGGATAACACTTTCTTAGTAAAGTACAGATTCTAGTACTATTTTGGGTTGAGTCCTGTCCAGGATTCGAACCCACACTTGCCAGAGTGAGGCACCTAATCGCCAGCACACTAAGTCAGCGATCTATCCCACTCAGCCATCGAGGCTTCCACAAAAATGAAAGTCCGACAACTGGTACTCTAGATCCCGTACTTTGAGTACCCCTCTGACAAGTGTAAATTGGCACGGCTCCCATGGCCGAAAGCTATGGCCCCACAGAAAGTACTAGAATCTGTACTTTATCCCAAAGTGTTATCCCAAATATAGCATCTGTTACATTTGACCACTTTCTAAGTGGCATTGTGTGTTCAAAGCCAAGGGATGTTGAGAGCTTTCAATATTAATTCGTGAAACGTTTTCCGAGAGTACATGAGCACGCGTTTTGGTATTACACAATGT